TCCTGGGAAGGTCTCAAACCAGACCTTGCCCAATGGCTTGGAAGCAGTCCTGAGCAGCAAACTGGATTCACTGACAGAGAGAGGCCAGCCCCAATCTCCACAGGGTGAAATGGTGGACCAGCTATATCTGAATCATGTGTTTTGATAAAGATTGTTGGACTTTGGCTTCTTCTAAATTCTCTTACCACCTGGATAGGCACAGCAGTCCAAGGGGTGGCAAGTATCAGGGTGATTTTGGAAACTTTGTGGTGAGCAGGTGTTAGCCCATCCCGTGGAGTCTTCCTAAAGTCTGGCCTAGACGAAGCATGGTTCTGAAAGACAATCAGTTCTGGATTTAAATCCTTGTTTGTGATCTCATTGCCACTAGCTGAATTTTCTCTTCCAGTCAGCACAGCTGGGGACAGCCATATATCTCTGGAGACAGTTTGCTGGGGAAGGCCAGGATACTTAGAGGAAGTCACATGAAATCTTGTGATTTGAAGGGCTGGAGACCCACCTGAAGGGAAGTCTTGTTTTGGTTTCTGGGATCCTGTTGGAAGACCAGTCGGAGTTTCAGACACCTTCTCTAATTGTGGCACAATCAGACTTGAGGGAGCATGACTGCTTCTGTGGGAATCTGCTCGAAAAGGCTTTATTGTCAAGCTGCAAGTTGAAATGTAAAGCTTCACTGAAGCATGGAGGTCTGGCATTTGGACATTGCACTGGCTACAGCCTTGTTGGGGCGGGAGAGAATCACAAGGTTCCAGGGGTGTGTGCAGATTTTTGCTGCGGAGTGTAGAAACAGCTGGAATAGCAGAAAGATCAACGTCTAGGCGTGATGTCCAGCTTGGAGCTTTGCAGGAAAGGACATCAGAGGGCAAAGATACAGCAAGCTTCAAGGGATCATTTTTTTCAGGAGAAATACGATGAACCTTTTTTTCTCTTTCTGAATATTGTCTGTAAGATGCAGATGTTGACCAAGAACCGCTATATCCATGGCCCCAAATGTCTCTGGGAGGACTGGAACAACTGGATATCTCATCAGAAGGACTGGCACAGTGAAGAGTGCTCCTGAAACATTTCCTCTGGTCTGTGTGTGCCAGGACGACATCTAGCCTTGAACAGTAAGCTTCAGAAGACACACTGCTTGGTGATGAGCTGGCATTTCCTGGAGCAAGCTCTGCAACTGATTGACCAGTGGGAGGGTGCCACGCTGATGCTGGCATCTTTTGAAAAGGCCTGTCCCGCACAGCAGATTCAAAAGGAGGAGGTGGGGTCATTCTGCTGGAAGACAGCCTCACTTTCGCAGTGGAGACATAGGTTGCAGATGAAAGTTTGCAGCGATGGTCCCTGCATGACATTCTGAAGCTTAGTCCTAAACGATGCAAAAATCAAAGCCACAGAAGCTTGCCTTTCCCCCTGTTTTTAAAACCAACTCCTAATCCTTTTTCCTTTGGCACTGGAAATTTCCATTCTTCCTCTGAGGCAAAGGAATGAGAGATGAATAAACATTCTCCAGGAAAAAAAATCATGAACTAAAAAAATCCACATTCAAAAGGAAAACACGCAGCTCTTCTAACACTGCTACCACCGCCTGTCACATCTGCAAAGTGATATGAGAGTGGGATGGGCAGAAAGATAAATTACGGAGCATGAGGCTCTGCTCCCTGAGTGTTCTGACAGTGAGACTGCAGACAGAGGAGGAGGGAGCCAAAAACGCCTGCCAGAGACAGCCTGCGAACTTGCTGTTATTTCATCTGGGGAAAAAAAAAAGCAAGCAGCTAACCTGAGCACTGCATCTGCCACCGTGGAAAGGTTAGAACGGAGCAGAGCATACCGGACACCGCTTCTGCTCTAAGCAAAAGGGATTGTTTTTTTTTCTTCCTTCTCTTTTTCAGCTGTTTCTCGTCTGCACTCCGAATGGCACGATTTCAAGTTCGCAGGTCTTAGGAAAGTTTCCTACAACAGTTCCATGCAATGGCACAACTGAATTCATAATAAAAAAAAAAAATTAAAAGATAGACGTTTTTCCTAATTTTCTCCACATGTGCTCTATTTTTCTTTAGCACAGAACAATCCTAGACTAAATTCTGCAGAAATCCTTCGAAGGTTTAAATAACTTGGATGTAATATAAGATGCTGGCATAAAGTCAAACCCGTCACACTGGCACAGACAGCGAATGAGAGAGCAGTTCTCAGTAGTAGTTCTTGGTTTAAAACACTCCTCTGTTGCCTTCTTCCTTCCCCTGTTCCTTGCTGATGGGGGAGAGACTTGGTCTAAGGCATATGAAGTACTGGGAAAATAGGATCCAAAAATTACGGGATGACAGAAGCTGTTTTCTTACACACGTATTTTGCAGATGTCCAGAGTGAAATGCACATGCCTGAGCCTTGCCTCAAACACAAAAGTCAGAAGAAACACAAGGGGTGGAAGATTGCTTATATTGGTTTGTCTGATAGGAGTCTTTTTTAAAGTGTGTTTGCTTTTGTTCTTTCTGAAAGCAGTAAATGACAATATTCCCATTGGGAAAGTGGTTTGGGAGTCTTCAATTGATGTCTTGGCTGAATACTTTCTGAGAATATATTTCATAGGACTGCTTTCCTACCCCGCTGCCTGTTCCCCTAGGGAGCAGTCTTGCATCACTATGTAGCCACATTTTAACTCCATTTAGTAGTAACAGAGCTCTATCCACAAGGATCAGCTTCCTCTTCCAACAGCTCTTCAAATACAGAGAAGTAAAATACAAATAGCGACTAAGGAACCTCAGTTCACTGTCAAATTGTATATACACATATATATATGTGTGTATGATCCACAAGGCAGATGGAGACAACTGCAAAAGACAGTTTTGCAGTTCTTGCTATTTCTCCCTCACTTCGATGGGAATCCTGGCGTACAGGAATAACCTGTTTGAAGAATAATCACACTGAGAGACAAGAGAATAAAAGAAATAGGGGATATTCCAGGAATACAGGAAATCTAGCTGTAGAAGAATCAGAACAATGTTGCCATTTCTTCTGCCCTTCTGCTCCACTCTTGTGACACTCCATCTGTATTAGTGCATCCAGCTCTGGAGCCACCAACATAAAAGTGACATGGACCTGTTGGAATGGGTCCAGAGGAGGGCCAATGAAGATGATCAGAGGGCTGGAGCACCCCTGCTATGAAGATAGGCTGAGAGAGTTGGGGCTGTTCAGCCTGGAGAAGAGAAGGCCACCTCACAGCATAGGGAAATGGTAAATTCATTTGAATAAAGAAGTAACATGCAGTACACTTTACCTGTACAGAATGTGTTGGGGACACACTGAAATTGCCAGGTGCAACCCCCATGTAAGAGTAATATAGTCCAGGACTCAAGACTGAGGGGCAAGAAAGAACATTAACCCATAGTACCTTCATACCTATTTACCTCTGAGGTACATACAGCAAAGCAGGTGCCATAGTCACAGTGCCTCTGCACATCGGCTGATCTCCATTTCATGAAAAGAAAAGGAATACACTGGCCAAAATTTTGTAGAGTTGAGATTTTCCCTGAGGATGCTCCCCATGCAGGAGCTTGGCAATGATGTAACACTTCTTGGTAGGGACTTGAGACAGATATAATGTAAATTATGGTATTTACTAATTAAGCAACAAATAAACACTTGTAACAGGCAGAACTATGTAATATTTTACTCCAGAAACTTGAACCTAGGTGAAATTCTCTTGGTTTCACAAACTTGGAATGCATGCCATGCTTGCTAAGGGTGCCAGTTGTAGGGAATTATGAAGATTTGCATTTCCTTCAAGGAATAAGTAGCAGAAGGCTTCAAGCCCATGTGTCCCAAAAGGTTAAGTATCACTGCATGGTGCAGCTCAGGGTCAGTTTTCCAGAAGATTTAGTGGCAGTGGCAAAGCACTGGTGGAAAACAGCTCAGCACAAACTGAGAGTCATTATATTGTGCTGCCAGTGGTTTTGGAGAATTAATAACTGTTTTTCCTTAGTAAGAAATGACCCAGAGGTACAACCTCCTTCAACTTTGCTTCAACCCTTCCATTTGGCAACCTTCAACCCATCAATGTGGTTTTTATGCCAAGTCTCAGCACAGTTACAGCAATCTATCAACCCATTAATTTGCACAGACTGGCTGGAAAAGACTCATGAATTCTGCACTAAGTTTCAAAATAGCAAATGTCAGACCTCAAGCTGAAACATTTTCAAATAGTTCCATGAATCCAGGAAAGTGCAAAAAAACCAAAATGCAATTTAATATTGGTGAAAAAAATATATTTCAAGAGCTGCAAAATGATGATAATATGAACACCCTTCTGGATGCCTATTGGCAATAACTATATGAGCCCTCTCTTTTCATGAGAGGGCTTTTTTCACTAGCTCATCTTTCTCTACCGCATCAAATAGGAACTCACATTCCTTACAATCAAATTCTTTCATAGTTGTTCTCCACACTGCTATCAAGTCCCTTGCAGAACTGAGAAGTCAATTCCTTTTTCTGGATTAACTCAAACTGCCAGCATTCATTTTCCACTAGTTGCATTTTCCCAGCACTAACCCTCAGCCTGGGGTGAGGTTTCCAGCAACACCTACAAAGTAATCTCCCTGTCCTCCTTCAAACCCTCTTTATATTCCCCTCTCTCTGAAGTCTACAAAACAATTTGCCAGTGGTTAAGCAGCTGGTATGCTGCCATCTGTTTGTAAAGCTGACTAATACTGGACTGCTGTCTCCCTCTTCTGTTTTGATATGTTTATTTGCAAAAATCATCCTTCAGGCAAGGATCATCTTTTTTTATCTGGTTCTGCACCAAAGCCCCATAAGAAAGGGGTGTGTGTGTGTGTGTCTGGTGTGCTGCTACAGTCTCCAAGTGATAACACAATGTAAATAATAATGATTTAAAAAGTGCCTTGTCTATACACAGGCCCAAGGATTTTAAGTTGTTGGTGACAGTAATGCCCTTTTTAACTTGGAAGAGTTCAAATGCTTGATGAGTGTAACTGCTTATTTCAAGTTTATAATTCACATACCTCCTGTGAATTCAGGAGCTTGTCCAGGTGATCCAAATCCTTGTAGAACATTTGTTCTTGGTGTATTTTCTCCAGCCATTCCTTCTTCTGTTTCCATTCATTGTATACATTTTCCTTCTCTTCCAACAGAGCCTGTAGTTTCTGCTGAATCTGAACACAATTTCCAATGAAAAACTCATGTTGGTCTTTATGCCCCATGGACCAGGGTAAGGTGGGAGGAGAAAGGATTAAGTGCAGTGGTGGATAAGCCCCTTAAATTGCAACAAAATTATCAAACAGAAAAAAGTAAAACAAGTCCTAGCACTTATATTTGGCATGAGAGATAAACAAAGGTGCCTCATTTCAGGAATAGAGGAACACTTCTTACAGCATATATAGCAGTCCAAGCCAAGAGAAAAGGTAGGTAACTGTTTCTCAAGTGTACCTTCTAGAATCAAATCCTAATCACCTTTAGTGATAACGGTGCAATTATAGCACTTCAAATTGGGATAGGACAGAAACTTAAGTAAATTATCAAATAGCATATTGTCCTAGTCAGTGAACAGGTGCCTCAATGTTGGACTTCATGTTATTTCAGCTTCCAAACTCTGTATATCCATAGGCCTTCTATAAATGAATTTTTCCTACATTTTTCTACAGGCAAAGGACTTTACAGTCAGGAAGATTTCTACTTACTATAGTAATACATTGCAATATTCAACTAATTTTCAGTCAGAAAGGAGAGTAATTTGCATGATCTCTGCAGTTTTCTGAAGACAGTCAAGAGATACGATAATGAATTGTCAGAGGAGAACTAAACCAGTAGGTACTGGAGGAGAAAAAATGCTGGGAGAATCTCTGAAGCTATTTGTCTCGAGTGAACTGTCATTTTGATTTCTATCTTTCATTTCCAGTGAGTAAAGTATACCAGCATAATTCATTACTACAGAAAATGTTTCAATTAATCTTTAAAGTCTCTAATATGTGTGTTTTCATTCTTTGGTTGACAGGTTTATGTCCATCCTGGTCCGGTATGAATATAGCACTGTAATGTGAAGATTAGTATTTGTGTGGAAACTCTGTTTGGGAAATGGGTAGAATTATCTCCATTGCTCAGAACATACCAAACTTCTCGAATAAGCCCAGCTTTGCTGGAGCAGGCCCTCAGGAGATGCCAGCACTCATCTGCTGCTGAGGTAGGAAATGGAAGGGTTTTTGTACCCAAGCTAGACAGCACACTGAGGCAAACACAGGTCATGCATATGGATATGTGTGAGTGTAGACACACATTTGTACACTTATGGTGCAATACAGTACAGAATTATAGTTATACTGGTGTTGAGTAGCTGAATGTGTGACTGAACTCAAATGAGATTCAATTACCTCTTTTGATCCTGTTTCCTCATCTTGCAAGAGCGACTGTCCTTCCTGTACAACATGATTATACTTCTCTTCTCGTGCTTCAATCTCTGCCAGTAGCTGTTGATGCTGGGTAAGTCTAAGGCTGCTGGTAGATATGTCCCGAATTGTCTCCTTGGCTCTCATTTCCCTGATAATTTCTGCTGTCCATGAGAAATAGTCCCAAACCTGGAACCCAAGAAAACGTGAAAGTTGAGGTCAGAGCTCAAGATTGGGTTATCAGATAGGAAAACCATAGGCTGACTGTTCAACTTTAAGGCAATAATAGGTAATAAAATCACAGATAACAAAGAAAATATTTCATTAGGGCTTAGAGCGCTTCTATGAATTTTAATAAGGGTGGACAACATGACTGTAGGTATTTCTACATACTGTGTTAAAACATACATGTTTTGTAATACCGTATTCAAACTGTGTCATATCACATAAATGACAACATGATACAATTTAATGCCCTTCAGTCCATCATTCTTTAAGTGTTTTCTGGTGTTATTCCTTCACAGAGGATAAAATAATTATCACCTGATTTTTCTGTGGCTTTGGTTAATACAAGTCTACTTGAAACTTAAGTTGTACACATATACTAAAATGAGAGTGAGAATTTTCAGGTGAAAACAGATGAACTCACTCTAATGGAGGTGGAATAAAGGCAAATCACAGTTGAGAAAAAATTGCTTAAGCATATCAGGTATGCAAGATTCAGCTCCTGAATTTTGTGGAATTATGTTGGTACAGAAACACAATTCTGGAAGGAACAAGGATGTAATGCTAGTTTGCTTTCAAAATCTGAGGAACTGATAAACATATTTACAATATCTTAAAACATCCACAGCATTTAGCTGAGGCAATTATGAGCAATAAAAATCTTACACAAATCTCAGAATTATTTTCTGATTGTGACTGAAGAGACCTGAGTAAGCAAAAAAAAAATTGACATTTTCTGTTTGTCTTTCTCTGCACTTGATTCTGCACCTTCACCAGTCCACTTACTTTAGGCATCTTGTTAGAATCTGTAATAGATGTCGTGCTCTTATGTGTCAGTTGGTAAAAACTAGGACTGCAAGGGACTGTACTAGTGATCATATTGGATGATTAATTAATTTTCATTACAGTTTAATTGTATTGGGATTAGTCAATTCAATTCTGAGGTGGTAAATAGTCTTTTAGTTTTTAAGTGTATTTTTAAGAGACTGTTAGGTATAATAAGCGCTGAAGAAAAATGCTCTTTTCCTGACAATTTTCTCTTGTGAATGGTTGCTGTCTTTTCCGTTGAAGGAAACTATGTAATGGAAATAGCTTCTTGCCTGTTCCATTTTACCCATTTTTATCCCTATCATGAAAATTTTGTATAGCTCAAAGCTGGCTTGTGAACCATCCGGCCAGGAAAAAATAGTTTCAGAAAAGCACTACAAAGTTGAAAATGGCCAAGTTGGGGTCCTAAGAGTTTAGGCTTTAAAGACAAAATACTTTTTTCCTAAAGCCAGTGAACACAGCTACTAAACGACTCTTTAAAAGGACTGTGGTCTTTTTAAAGGGGTCCACATAGTGCACATGTGTTGGTGTCATTTTGATTTGCAGAACTAATTCAGACACATCTGGATGTCACTGTAGACACTGAAATTGCATTTGGCACTGCAAATGTCTTAGACTCCCTGAGATTTTAAGCTAAGCATTAGGAAGAAATCCATAAATCTCAGGATATTTAATGCAATGGAACAATTCAAAAGCCACTAATAGGTTATTGGACTGCTACTGCCAGCAACATTTAAGGATAGACTAGGCATCAGTCTGCAGGAAACTCCTAAGCAGAGCCTGACTGATAGACGTGCAGATCCTAGCAGAAACTTCAGAACAAGAACCTCAAACCATTCAGAAACACTTTAAGTGTCTGGCTTGATAGTTTTTTTGGAAGATTTGGAGCCCTCTGCTGTTACTATGTGTTGTCAGTTGGAGCCAGCTCTGCTGTTTAATCAGACTAAAATCATACTTGATGCGATGCAAGCAGATACGCTAGATTATTGTGCAGAATTCTCATTTCATGGAAGGGCAGATTTGTTTTTGTTTCACTTCTTCTGCATACAATTTCATAATGAAAAAGCCCCATGGACTGCGTATGAACAATACTAATGAACAGAAGTACACTGAGCAGCTGTGACTAACACTAAGTTTGTAGACCTCTTGGCATGGCTGAAAGAGGAAAGGGAGCAAAGTTGCCTCTCTGCACTCAGCAATTTGGGGGATATTCTGCAGTAAAGCTGCTCTAACTTACCCTAGAGATACTGAGATTCTTTCAGTCATTAGTTATGGCTGTATAACCCTACCTTGTCCCTCTGGGCAGAAAGATGAGCTTACTGAATTTCCAGAAACAGCTCTTTACTTTTTCAGGAATTATTGTCAGGAAAGGAGGTGAAAATTGAGAGGACTGGGGATACTTCTTGCCAGTAGACTGACATCAAAGAGACAGAGAAATGCCTGAGGCATTATCCCATCTAAGCATCTCACCTGGCTTTGTCATTTTGTTTTATGATGTTAAGAAAGCACCTTAATGACTGTGTAGCCCTCTCTATTAAGCACTGATAGGTTTATATATTTTTAAGGTGTTCATTGCTTGTAAATTTACCAAAGCAGAGGAAAGGGCACAGTGCCAGAGTAAGAAATGGGCTATAGATTTACCATTCAGATCACAGGTTGCATCACAGATTTCAGACCGATTTCAGACCGGTATTTTGTATGGCTCCAGGAATAAAAAGAAAAAAGCACCCCCACCAACAGGACATTTTCTATCTGAAGTAAATAATTAAATTTATGGCATAAGTTATGAAAGAAATCAATAACAAAGTGAACTCTGAGTGACTATGTTTTAACGGATAAATCCATCAAGACTGTCTCCTGATGAAGATTCCCCCAGGCTGAAGACTTCCAGAATCTAATATCTAATATATGTTAGAAGAAAACATAATAGAAGAAGATTGTGTTGTTCTGTCATCCCTAGATCACTGTCAGAAAGACAGTGGACAAATGAACCTTTCACTTACATCAGTAGAAGCAATCTAATTTTCCTTAAGTCAAATTCTAATTAATTTTATTTCCCCGTCAACAATTCTGCACAGGAGAATGGATTCTTAGCAGTTAAAAAACAAACCAAACAAACTCTCACAAAAAAGTGCCACAAACATCCTACATGTCTAACGGTACAATGTATTTTTGGATTAAATATGACATGTTATGCTGGTTTTAACACTTTGAAGAGACTTAAAGTGGATAAGCCTAATGTGCAGAAGTAAACAAAAGCATGATGTACACTCTATTGTGGTCTTGATCCCAGCTCACAACTTGAACACAAACTTGTGGGAAGGTTTTTTCCCATGTGAGCATATCCTGGATATTCTCTGCTTCCCAGCAAACAAGGAAACAGAAAGTGAACTACCAGAGGTATCTTTAGTTGACACTGAAGTTATACCTGGAACAATTCAAGAATTCAAAGAATGTAAAGGTACTCTAGAAATCTACATTAGCAACTTTCTTCATGATTAAAAGGGGCACCCTTGCTGTTTTAGTACCCACTAATGCAACACTTGCAGCAATAATCTGCTAATTTGCAGTGGTGTCACTCAAGTGTCTTCACTGAGATTGCTGACAATTGATAAATATTCTGTGGCAATCCATAGCTCAGTGACCTACTGAGTTCTTTGGAGAGAAAACTACTGTGCATTGCAGATGATGGTATTATGCTAATGTATGCATGTCACTGTGTTTGAGCAACTGGAGAGGTTGCTGCAAAGACCGGAGACTTGTATTTGATACATTCCATGAATTAAGTTAACTGTGGGTTATTGCATACACTGAGAGAGAGAGAACAAACCTGTAGCCATTATAAATGGCTAAAATTACAAATGGGAGTCTAATATCTAGTTTTATTACTCTTACCCAGTAGGAATTGCAGGGTCTTTGAAAAGACTACTGCTGTTCATGCAAAGTGATGACCATTTCTGAAAACTCTCAATTATCCCATACACAGTTGGAAACAAGCTTCCTTTCCTACAGAAGATAAACGATCCCTACCCTATAATACATTTCTAAATAGCTACAAGCACTTAAATACTGGATTAACAACAGAGATAGCACCTGTAACATTTTACATTAACCCTTGCAGCTGGGAAGTACACCTATGACTCACACACACTGAAGGCAGCTTTCCCCTGTGTACCAATGGAAAGAAGTACTTACATGTGCCTGAAACTGGTAAAGCTTGTGTGCTTGTTCCAGCAATTTCTTGCGCAGTTCCACTTTAGACTTCAGGGCCCTCCAGTTGGTCACAATTGCCTGCTGCTTTGCTTTCAGGTCTTCCACCTGCTTCTTTGAGCAATGGGTCAGCACGTGATCTGCAGAATGGATCAGCTCCTGCAGCTATATGTAGGGACAAAAGAAGAGGGTAGGAATGAGAGCGTCACAGAGCTAATATCAGAAAACTTATGATAAGGGCTATGTTAATTGCACATGAAACTACAGTTCAAGCAACATTTTTTGCCGTAACTTTTCTCATGCAGAATAAAAGCTTCCCTAATTTCAGTTCTGTGGAATAACAGTGACACCCAGTGTTTGCAAAGGCTCATCACAACGGTGTTTTTTCAAATAGTCAGGTAGATTTTGTTTCTCCTTTTCACTGTATCACTTATTACATAAGTAATGCAAATAATAGCTAACCATACCTTGTTTTCCCCAGTGACCATATAGATTAACTGTGACTGCATTCTCTTCATGCATGTCTCATGCCCTTTTACCTTCAAAAGTAACAAGCTGCTGGTGGGATCCAATTCTAGCATCATCTACCACAAGGCCAGGATATGAGGGCACTCATATATGATACTGGGATAACTACTTCAGTAATCTCAATATAACACATGCTCTTTTAACTTTACCATTACATTTACTAAATGAAGAAAAAATACTTGTTTTATTGGTCTAGTTGAAGCTAAGCAAATCTCCTAGGTACAAGGAAGTATTCTAAACAACAGCTGTTCTCGTGGGCTGAAATTTTTCACAAGTTTGTATAACGAGACCTTTCTTCTCACAGTCTAACTCCCACCCCTCTAAACTTGTTGAAAATTCCAGACTGCTGCCCCATCCTTCCTTCTATAATTCTCTATACTTAATCAGTGCATTTTGTGTTCAATGAATATTCCATTTCTCTGCACATAAAAGAGATTCTGGATTTTTCCTTGTAATCACCCTCAGCACTTTGAAGAAGGGGGATAAATGCATCATAAATCCTGGCATAATCATACATTTCAAGCAGTGATCAAAAATATCCCTGTGAATCACTTCAATAGTCAGTGATCATTATAATACGTCCTTTATTTGTAAGATTTCAAAAGACCTACTTTATCATTGCCACCAAACCTTGAACATACTAAAAAAGCAGAAGACTAAGGAAGACCCTTAGACACTTCCAAGCTCTCACAGAGAGCCTGTAATAATTTGGTCCACAATACCAAATTATTACTGTGATTGTCTTGGAAACTTGAATTTTGGCCACACATGAAAGACCACAAATGACTTTCACTACCTGCTGCTCATTCCCAGAGAGTTCATGCTCCAGGGCCACATGGTTCCGGAGCTGGGTTTGCACACCTCTCATGTCCTTAGCAACATCATCTGGAATGCTTTTGGACTTCTCCTAGAAGGAAGGAATCAGAGAAAGCTTTGTTACTTTCTACTTCCAAGCAAAACACACCACAAGCCTACTTCAGTCATTTTGTGTACTGCAACTCATACTGCACAGTTAAGGACATCCTGTGTTACTCAAGTATAATAGCTAGCTGCAACTCATACTGCACAGTTGACATCCTGTGTTACTCAAGTATAATAGCTAAAAGGAAACTGGAAAAATCTGTCCTAGTAACTCACTTCTAAGTATCTCGGGGATTAAGCTACCCAACTGGACTGTGAGATGCTCAGTCTTTTCTTGATCAGACAATACAAGACAATGTCTTCCAGGCTTTGAATTGAGAATCAATCTTGAATAGCTACTGCAGTGACATATAGTGAATTTTTAATGTAGCATTAACAACCAACAGTTTCAGGCCATTATTTGGTCTATCTGTGAACCCCCTTTAGATAAAAATTTAGTTACATGTGCTCAGGAAAGATGAGTTAAAAATGGCATACATGCAAAGAAAGATTACTGTGAAGATGACAGAAACAGAGAAACCATCACATAAAAGGAGACAAACATTTATTTAGCTCAACAAAGGTTCTGAGGGGATTTAACTGTTGCACAGACATGCACTGGGAAACAGTAAGCAAAAAAGAAAGGGCATTTCAGCTGGAGGACAACACTGTTGCTAGAATAAAATGATTTGAAATTTGTTCCAGGTCCATTTAGGTGAAAATTAGAAGAACATTTCTAACCATAGGAGAAATACATTTCTGTAACAGATTCCCAGGCTGGTTTGGGGTACCAACACCATATCTTGGTAAGGCGCTGTAAAAGGAGATGCATGTTGTAGTTGCCTGTGATATGATGGCACTGGAGTTGATGACCTAAGCAAGATCTTCTAGTACCATGTTGCTTTAAGAAACGGCTTTTCCTGGTAGACATCTGAGGAGGGGGTACACAGGAAGGGGTAGGCAAGATGACTGAATTGCCCTCCCACTCAGCAGAGAAGCTTATTAACAAGATGCTATGCAAGAAGTGTGTATTTGTTTGCCTGGGTCAAACTCAGCATGGGGATAAACCAACAGCTGGACTGTGAAGTGTTTCTGAACTACCACTTGTCACTGCCACAGAATTAACTAGTTCATCATTGAAGTTAAATATGCACCAGGTTCTGAAAATCCCAGCTGGTATACAGTGAAATATTGTGCCGTTTGATTTTCCATCCACAACAGGGAAAGAAAACAGGAATAACAGTTGAATAAGGCAGCCTCTACCAACATAAGCAACTAGAAAATCTACCACACATAACATGCCAAAGCCCTGTTGCCTTGCAAACAGTGCAAGCTCTGTTGGATTGCCTCCTCCTGTATGCATTTGTATTAGGAAACACCTCTCATTACAGCAAGGATGTGGTTTCTCTGTGAAATTCTTCAGGATGCTCAGATAGAACAGAAGCCTTAACATTTTCATTGGGACTTCCCCCCTGAGTTTTCACACTGGGACTGTTTGAAATTATTGCCAGTAGTGGGCACTGAAATGAGAGGAAAGGAATTTTGGCTCAGCTTTTTGCATCAGGTCACACGATTGCCTGACAATCTTCCAGACTAATGGCCACTGTGATTCAGACAAATGCCTTTTTCACAAGACAGTTCTTTCTTCAGCACATAAAGCTACAATAGTGTACAAAGCACCACAGCAAGGCAGTAAACACTTTCATAGTCAGGCCTGATGACTGCAAACATTACCATATGCATTGAACTGTGACACAACTTAGTTCAAGCCCTGGTCTTCTCGGCTTATCCCACAGATCAGCAGCTCTAGCTGCACCTGGTCTCACCCATGGTTCTCATAAGATGACCAGTCAGGCATCTAAGGATTACACAGGATTTCTTTTGTTTTTTTAACACTGTGAGTAACCACACAGTTTCTTACTGAGATATTTCAGAAGTCAGTAGTAAGCATGCTGAGAATCATAAGAATACTCCACAAATTAAACTGAAATGAAGTTCTCATTATATGAGACTTCCCCCCCCTTTTTTTTTTACCTCAATATGGGCCAGAGCATCTGTCAGATCTTGGAAACACTTGTGAATCACCTCAGCATCTCTCAGCCGCTCACCTCGTAATCTAGTAATTTCCAAGAGCTCCTCCCAGGAGTTCCTACAGGAGAGGACAGGGAAAAGAAACATGTAAAACCTTCAAACTAGGAGTAAAGGAGATTAACAGTCTGAGAAAGACTGAAAACAAGACCTCCTCTAACTTTGTTTTTCATTCCTGCCATTAAATTCTACCTGAATGATTCCCTGAGGGGCAGCATGTCTCTCACTCCACTCCATCCATGTCTCCTGTCTACTCCAAGCACCTAAATAGATGGTCCTATATAAGGGCACACCTCTCCAATATGCTTTTCACATTTTATATGCAGGACTCGGACCTGAGTAAGCCCCTGCTATTCCTTCATGCTTCTCTTCTGGCCCAGTTTGGACCAATGCCAGACATAAGAAGCTTGGAACATCTTAATGTTGTTCTGCAGAGCAGCCATGGGATTCAAACTCAAAAATCAGAAGCAATAAAGGAACAACTAAACTTCTAGCCTTTTGATCCTGTTTCAAAGGGCAAGGGAAGTTCATTCACCCCTCGCTTGTAAAGTACCTCTGATGCAATTTACAAGAAGCCAAATCAGCAAGCAGATAACGTCTGCATTATAGTCGGCTATTTTTAAACGAGGCATCACAGCAGCTCTGTTTCAGTGAGCAAACCACATTATTTTGCAATTAGAGGATTGGGAGGACATGCCTTATCCTTTTCTAATTCCTTCTCACTTCCTCATCCTCAAGAGTGAGCTGAAAGAACAAAGCATTATAGGGCTAACACAAGTCTCCTACCTTAGCTCCTTCTGCTTCTGCCGAATCTCCCGGGACTCAGAATGCCCACCGTTGACCAAGCTGTCTGCCAGCTGCTGGCAAACCACAACTCTCTTCCCAGCTCCTTCCAACTGGTGTCGGAACGTGTCATATTTGGCACAAAGTTGCTTTAGAAGGAAAAACAACAATAACAAAAAAAGACATTTAGATGGTTCTCTTTTTCCAAACGTACCTGCTCAGCTATCAGAGCACAGCCAAAAGACTGATCAAACTTGGAGATGGAGAAACTGCAGAGAATGAATGCATTTTATTTCTAAAGACCACGAGGAGCTACAAACTCTTAGCAAAACACGAGGTTTGTCATGCAGATGGGAGGCAGAAACACTATTACCAGGGCTAGAAACAAACATCCAATGTACAATGCATTTCAATTATTAAATTATATGCTTTCACTTCACAAATGCAAATATGTATTCAGTACTATAACTGAATAATGCAGTCCAATTTTAAGATTTAGGGCATAAGATATTTTGCAATAAATTATGAAAATGAGGATTCTGAATGGCTATTGATTTCTAACGGGCTGACATTAGATCAGTTTCTGCGCCATGTGAAGAAGAATAGCTGTAGATGTCCATACATCAACATTTGTGATGAAAAAAATCCTTAACAAACACCACACTGAAATACCTGGTTATTAAAAATAGAAAGGAGTTGCAGTCTGAAGGTGTAAACATTTTAACATGCAGTTGTTTCCTGCAGCTCAGCCCCCATAGTAACAGGATGTAAGTGTTAGGCAATGCTGCCTGCCTGCCATAACAAGTCAATCCTTCCCACCCACTCTTTACCCTTCTCTCTTTCCTTCTCCCAGCTATTTATACTTAAATTTCTTACTCTGTCCTATAAGATTTCAAGGACAACCTTAGAATCCTTTTAAAGTTTCACTGCACACAGTTTGGTTGATTTTTGATCTGTTACTTGAAAAACTCACCAAGACATGTGCATAATCATTTCCATAGTCTTCAGAGCTGGCTATTTGTTTCTGCTGAGTGATCCAGTCTTGCAGATCTTCATATTCTCGTAGAAACTCATGCAACACAAGAGTCTCATCCAGCTTCTTCCCTCTGTTGGGAGGAGACAAGACAATACAATTAGACCAAGGGAATACAAGAGGAGGGCAATCAGTAACTTTCTTCCTATTAATCTCCAAAACCTCTCACCAAAGACTTGTTTTTTTCAATGAGAGCTGACTTTATTTCTCAAGATTGGAAATTATGTTTATGGGATGGCAGTTGTCAGCCAGTTAGACTCATTGGCCAAGTTTCCCAGAAAAGCACTGTGCCTAGCTGAACTCTCTCCCTGGTTTTTTGTTTGTTTGGGTTTTGGTTGTTTTTTCTTTGTTTTTTTGGGGGGGTTTGGTGGTTTTTTTGGCACGGGGGATGTGTTGGGTGGTTGGTTTCTTTTTTCTGTTCCCATAACAATACCCTTCTTTTTTTCCCAGATCTGTTCTGATCTGTCTTTCTAAAAATAATGCAGTACTTACAGAAATGAGAAGGAAATCTTACTAACTGAGGATGGGTGCACCAGAAAGGCAAGTGCTATGAAAGCCATTTTACGCAATTCTGTTCATATTGCCTGTTGAGCAAAATTGCTGCAACTTTTTTCTTATTTCTGATTATCTAGAGTATCTTATAATACAGCCTGACATATTACAGGCCTTCCACAGTAAAGAAAATACCAATTTTCCAGCTGCTAACAGTGCCTGGCCATTGTGCAAATATGCCAGGAAAGATGAATTTGGCTGCACTGTTTGAATTGCAGATGGTCACCACAGGAGATGTAGCTTGCTGAGAAGCCCACCAAGGGAAATGCAGATCACAGGTACAAACCAGAGCACCAATAAAGCCCCATGAGACCCAGGTTAACATAAAGCATGAATGACCACAAAACATTTCTGTGTTCAAGACACACAAGCACTTTGATATTTCCAGATTGAGTATTTCTTTTTCTGAACTTTTCATTCACAGTATTTTCTATTAGTACTTTTACTTTTATAATTGTAAACAAGAATAGAAACAAAAGACAAAATATCAGCATTTCCTCTAGGCTTAATTATTCTTGTATTCAGACTCATTTATTTGTTAGTCTACTTGCAGAGCCCCATTCTTTTTCAAATTTCACAAAATTTGAAAGGATAAATTTGGAAGATAAACTGAAACTGTTCAGACATTTATTCCTTCCTCACAACAAACCAGAATGGTTTAAAAACCCTGTGTACAAGTAAACTGTCCTGTTGTAAAAATCTTACTGTAACAATAAGAGAAAGGAAGTGAAATGAAAAGTAAATTACATTTAAGAATAAACCACTTCCGATATTAGCACAGCAACTGGGTATAAAATGTAACTGTAATTATTTCCCTTCTGCTATCTAATGAATTAAGTAATTTTCAAGTAACATTAACAAAGCCTTTTAAAAACCATTTTTTCCTCTTGATAGCACACTCCAAATACCACAAATGCAAGTCAGAATCCAGCATCTCAAGTCACTTTACCCTTCATCATCTTGTAAAGAGGAAATCTGAGGGCTTCAAATCCTTAATACGTAGCAAAACTCCCTGAATAAAATGTAGAGTTCTCGCTTAGCAATAATAAAAAGCTCATAGGTGCACAGAATTCTAATATAGAAACAAGCAATTTCCTAAATACAACTAAAAAAAGAGGAGATGCTGGATATGATCTAAATTCCAGTGAAATAACTGGAGATAACCTTTATGGACTTCAGTGGGCTTTGAATCAAACCTAGGATCCAAGGGATAGTTCCAGTCTGTACCTTGCTGCTGCTAGTTCCTGCAGTTCCTGGAGCCTGGAATGAACTTGTTCCTTTGGTGCATCAACCTCAACATACTGGGTGGAGCCCGCACAAAGAGTTTGGGCACTTTCACTCAGTTCTGTCATCAAATTTTGGTAAATGGCAATCTCATGCTCCAGTGCCTGGCAGAGAAAATAGTGGATTGAGAGTCAATTTTCCAAGACACGCACTGTTTGAACTTTTGCACCAGTCTATGGTGTAGCCATTGAGACGTTAAAACAGGAGAAAACTTTCTGAAAGCATGTGATGTTTCCATGACTTGATAAGTTTTAGATCATTTTCTACCAACATTTTTTTTGAAAAAAAGGAGTACATAAATTCAAACAAATTAGGTGAATAAAGACAATTAGAAATTCCTTTTGCATTATTAGGCAGGTAGAAGTATTCCTGGAATAATATACTATCCATATCTTTGATTCTAGGGAAAAAAAAAAAGGTTTCTGCATGTACCTGTTGAGACTAAAAAGCAGATACCAGATCATATTCAGTTTGTGTCTCAAAAAAATTAGAGAATATTCACCATTCCCCCTTTTCCCCAAACTATTTTTTTTCCAACCATATTAGTAAGCTGCATTGATCTCTTCTATCAGTCCATTCACACGCAGACACACATCAATGTGAAATATCTTGTAGATGGCTGGACACTTAAGTACAAATGAGACAGAAAATTTTACAACCACAGACAGACTAGAAGATCAGGTCAGCATACAGAATTTAAGTGCAGAAATACCTTATGTTTCTTGCGGAGTTTCAAAGTTGAATCTTCATCCTTACCATAGTCCTTGCTTGTCACAAGTGGATATTTTTCTGCTATCCAAGCGTCCAGGTCTGAAGTATTCATTAAAAACTATCAGTTAAACAGAAAGAAAATTAGTTTCTACCCCAACTTTCATAATACAAAAATTTTTTGATCTAATACATTCTAAATAGAGAGTGCACTGTAAGACTTACTGTGATGTTTTATTAAATAATAAATAAAGAATATTTAATCCCAAGAACTACTATTCCACACTCTTGTTCTGTGAAATCATATGAAAGTGAAGGAGGCCACAGATGGAAGACTTCAGTGCAGGAGAACTAAAGTCTTCTCCAGGCATCAAAGCAAGTTGTCTCAATTCTCTTTGTTCACATCACTATCCTTACTTGACTCTTCCTGCATGCAGTATTTTTATTTAAAACAAGCTAACATAACAGTCTAATATCCTGTTGAAAATAATAGGGCCAGAAATCCTATCTCACTCTTAGAGTGAAAGAGTGTTATGAGCTTCTCAGTTCTCATTTTGTTGCCTGGAACGTTGGTGCCTGGATCAGGCAAAGACTGGATGGCATAAGAGATCCCATCTTTTCTGATTTCCTTGTCATAATTCTCCAGTATGAAGGGCCAGTTCAAGATCCATTGCATTACTCAAGTCAAAGCCTCAGGCTCTATAAACATGTTGAGAAAGGAGCTACCACTAGGAGAAATGTGTGTTCTACAGACAACCACAAGGGATGAGTAGAGAGTCCAAGGCAAACCTCTCAAGCAGGAGCTCTAAACTGGGGGCTACATTCAGGTTATGCAACCCAGCCCTCCATCCCCAGGAGACTGGCCTCAAGCAACTGAAGTCAATACTAGTCCCAGCAAAGCTGGTTTTTTATTCACTTTAAAATTTTGGTCATCTTGTTTGTCTGAAGAAGCTACTGTGTAAGCACTTTGCTGTAATTTGTACCTCCTGGAAGCCAACTGAGTGCTGCAGCTGCTTCATCCTCTCCTCACAGGCCTTCTCCAAGCCCTGCCAGGCAGTCACAAGCTCCTGGCACTTCTCACTTATTTTCTGAGCTGATGGATGCCGGCCTACAACCATTGTCTTTCCTTTATCCAGGACCCGCTGGATTTGCTGTTTGTGGGCATTCACCTCTGCCTGCAGTTCCTGGGAATGAGATAAAAGGAAAAACAGGAATAAAGGAAGGGTACGTCAAGACAAAGAAATTATGTGTGCTCCTAGTCCTAAGCAAAATTGCCAGCTGGTGACAGTGGGCAGAGTATAACCAGTGGACAAAACAACTGTCTCTGTTTCTACAACAGCTGCAGCCTCAGCCAGTGGTCCCAGCCCCACTTCTATAACACTCTGCTCTTGGTGCTGCCATTAAGGGAGGAGATATGAGTCTGTGAGGGTGCAGCAGACATCCCTTGACTTTCCTATGTGCTCAGCATACTCACAGAATTCCTCAGCCTGGTGCTCTGGCCTGGTTCTATCCCTTCCTCCTTACCATATACCTGCCCCTTCCCCTGCCCAGCAGCCAGAGGGGTTTGGGAGATGGAGCAGGACAAGGAATGAGACACAAAGCTGGGAGATGCTTAGAGTCCTGCTCCATAAAGCCTCTTCACTAGTCCTATAACTTGTCTCATGGAATTTGCAATCCAGGTGCTGCAAAATCCAGTGTTACCTGCGGTGCAGGGCAGCTCTGAGGTGCCCCTCTGGTTGCAGGGAGCTGCTACAAAGAATCAAACACTCCAGAAATCAAGTGTTAACTTGTCTTCAGAAATATATTGACTGTGGCTTGTTCAAACGATTTTACAAGCAGTACAGAACTAAAATAAACATTAAATGGCTGTTAAGTGCTCTCCTAGAGAATCTAGCATGCACATACCTCAAAACTGCATGTATAATGAAGCAGAAAGCATAGAACTAAAATAGTATGAGCATATAACATTCAAGGATTCAACCTCAAGAGAAAAAAAAATTGTTTTTTCCTATTTAGTGTGAGGTACACTAGCTTTTTATCCCCCTTTAATGAGAAGAGCTACAAAATTTCTCAGAATAATAATACCTCCCACAGGACTTTTCATGTTTGCTCTGAAAATCATTGCAATATTGCTGACTTGTCTCAATCCACTGGAAGCATTTTAGCTTGGCTAGTGCTGGAATTGGTGAATACTCATCGAAAGTGTGACAATACATTTTACTTGGAATGGCCTTCCTGAAGGGAAAGCACAACTGTGCAGGTGCTGGTTTGCAGGCTGAGGTGAAATGCAATGTACCAACATGCTATAATACACTCAATGAAATGAGTTACCTTGTGTTTTTGCAACAGGCTTTGAGCCACATCCAAGGACTTCCCACAGTTGGTAGAATGGGCAATAGGCAATCGCTCATTAATCCAGTTCAGTTCCATGTCATGATAATGGTAGAACTCATAGAGATCCACAGAAGCTTCCAGCAACTTACGCCTCTCATCAAGAGGTGCTTGCAAAGACTCAAACCTGGGGGTCATCCGTTAAATATATGTTAAAACAAAGCTTATCCTGATTCTGCTGAGGGAATTAGACTGTGATACCACTGTGAAGATTAGAAAACACTGGACGCTTCTTTGCAATTAAATTTCAACAGTTAGTGCTCGCTGCACATACAAGAATCCCTTCTCCAGAAATCTACTTTGGGCATGTAGACTTATACCATAACACTAAACGTCAGCAGAGGAACAGTGATTTACACTTTTGAAGTCCTAGGCTTGTCCTGTGATGTTTTAAGGAACTAGTCACTATTGAATGGTGGATTATTGCACCTCTTAGAAAGCAGTGGATAGCCCATGGGTAAGCAAAGGACTAGAGGAGGAGTGCAGCAGGCAACGAGCAAGGTCCAGTAATAAAGGCTGAGGTGGGTAAACATGCATCTGTGTAGGTGCAGATCAAAGTATAGTTGTGGTAGAACTGGGAGGAGAAATTGTTCCTGAATACAGGTTAAATCCAATCAGCTGAAAGGTATTTTCTAGAAGGTAGAACAAAAAATGCTATTTGAAACAAGGGATGGAGACAAAAAGAGAGTGACACCTCACCTGTTCAGATATTTCTGTGTTTCATCCAGAATCCTCTGAGAGTCAAAGTGATTGGTGGCCATTTTCCTTGCATGAGATACAATAGAGTTCATTTTCTCTGCCAGCTCACGTGTCTCATTTTCCAGCTGTCTGTGCTGCTTGAGTAGATCACGGCTGGAGCGCAAATCATGGCCTGTCTCAGATTCCTGAAGAACTTTCTCAATTTTCTCTATCTTCTTTTTGGCATCCTGCCAGGAAAAGATTACAGCACACTCGTACTGACCTTTCAACAGAACTTTCTTTCACTTAGCCCCCTCCCATGCCAGCTTCCTGAACACAACTTTTAAATCCATAAATCTTTAATTGGTAACTTGATGGCCAGGTATCTCCAAGAGGCATCTCCTGGGAATATTTAATTTTGCACATGATTTTGGAGTAGTCCTCTCCCTGAGACACCAAAGAACATCATCAAAAACAGTCTCTTTGAACTATCTTCAGTGACATAATACAAAACCATCAAACAATCTTCAAAGGCTTCAGATTGTAGCTACAACACAACAGCAGCAAGCAGTATTGTTTTCACAGCATTGACCCATGCAGAGGGTTTTGATTGTTTTCCAGGACAGGACAGCTACACTTATGCAGTGCTGAGCCCGAGTTCAACAGCTTTGTATCTCGGTGCTGTGCCAGCACCATTACCTGGCTGATAGCTTTGGAGTGAGCTTGGTCAGGGTTATATTGGATTTTCTCTCCTGAGACTTTAGACAAAATGGACACCTTAAAATACACTTTTACTTGCATGGTATTCTGTTCTTTTTTGTGGGGACCACGTGACAGAGGAACCAGGCTCCTAGGCAATTCCTCCCCTTTGCTCCCCACCACCCCCTGACCTGGAGCAGTTCCATGAGCTGTTCTTGCTGCCCAGCTTGTCTCAGCTTGTCATCTCGCTCTATAATCTTGCCATACAATTCCTTCCACTTCTTTTGAAGTTCTGACATCTTCTCCCGGATAGAAACTGCAGCATAATGGTTGTCTTGAATCAGCTGATTTCCTTTCTGGAGAAACACAGCACATCAGTTTTTTGAGTAGATCAGCATCTATGAAGTTTGGGACAAGATGGAAGACTTAGCTCCAAAACTGCCCTCACATTTATCAGTGTTGCAAAGTGCTCCTCATTAGCCATCATTTCCTTCTCAGCAGCCTCATGCCACTTCAGTTTGCGTAAGTGGTTTGGGAGTCTTCAATTGATGTCTTGGCTGAATACTTTCTGAGAATATGTTTCATAGGCCTGCTTTCCTACCCAACTGCCTGTTCCCCTAGGGAGCAGTCTTGCGTCACTATGCAGCCACATTTTAACTCCATTTAGTAGTAACAGAGCTCTATCCACAAGGATCAGCTTCCTCTTCCAACAGCTCTTCAAATACAGAGAAGTAAAATACAAATAGCGACTAAGGAACCTCAGTTCACTGTCAAATTGTATATACACATATATATATGTGTGTATGATCCACAAGGCAGATGGAGACAACTGCAAAAGACAGTTTTGCAGTTCTTGCTATTTCTCCCTCACTTCGATGGGAATCCTGGCATACAGGAATAACCTGTTTGAAGAATAATCACACTGAGAGACAAGAGAATAAAAGAAATAGGGGATATTCCAGGAATACAGGAAATCTAGCTGTAGAAGAATCAGAACAATGTTGCCATTTCTTCTGCCCTTCTGCTCCACTCTTGTGACACTCCATCTGTATTAGTGCATCCAGCTCTGGAGCCACCAACATAAAAGTGACATGGACCTGTTGGAATGGGTCCAGAGGAGGGCCAATGAAGATGATCAGAGGGCTGGAGCACCCCTGCTATGAAGATAGGCTGAGAGAGTTGGGGCTGTTCAGCCTGGAGAAGAGAAGGCCACCTCACAGCATAGGGAAATGGTAAATTCATTTGAATAAAGAAGTAACATGCAGTACACTTTACCTGTACAGAATGTGTTGGGGACACACTGAAATTGCCAGGTGCAACCCCCATGTAAGAGTAATATAGTCCAGGACTCAAGACTGAGGGGCAAGAAAGAACATTAACCCATAGTACCTTCATACCTATTTACCTCTGAGGTACATACAGCAAAGCAGATGCCATAGTCACAGTGCCTCTGCACATCGGCTGATCTCCATTTCATGAAAAGAAAAGGAATACACTGGCCAAAATTTTGTAGAGTTGAGATTTTCCCTGAGGATGCTCCCCATGCAGGAGCTTGGCAATGATGTAACACTTCTTGGTAGGGACTTGAGACAGATATAATGTAAATTATGGTATTTACTAATTAAGCAACAAATAAACACTTGTAACAGGCAGAACTATGTAATATTTTACTCCAGAAACTTGAACCTAGGTGAAATTCTCTTGGTTTCACAAACTTGGAATGCATGCCATGCTTGCTAAGGGTGCCAGTTGTAGGGAATTATGAAGATTTGCATTTCCTTCAAGGAATAAGTAGCAGAAGGCTTCAAGCCCATGTGTCCCAAAAGGTTAAGTATCACTGCATGGTGCAGCTCAGGGTCAGTTTTCCAGAAGATTTAGTGGCAGTGGCAAAGCACTGGTGGAAAACAGCTCAGCACAAACTGAGAGTCATTATATTGTGCTGCCAGTGGTTTTGGAGAATTAATAACTGTTTTTCCTTAGTAAGAAATGACCCAGAGGTACAACCTCCTTCAACTTTGCTTCAACCCTTCCATTTGGCAACCTTCAACCCATTAATGTGGTTTTTATGCCAAGTCTCAGCACAGTTACAGCAATCTATCAACCCATTAATTTGCACAGACTGGCTGGAAAAGACTCATGAATTCTGCACTAAGTTTCAAAATAGCAAATGTCAGACCTCAAGCTGAAACATTTTCAAATAGTTCCATGAATCCAGGAAAGTGCAAAAAAACCAAAATGCAATTTAATATTGGTGAAAAAAATATATTTCAAGAGCTGCAAAATGATGATAATATGAACACCCTTCTGGATGCCTATTGGCAATAACTATATGAGCCCTCTCTTTTCATGAGAGGGCTTTTTTCACTAGCTCATCTTTCTCTACCGCATCAAATAGGAACTCACATTCCTTACAATCAAATTCTTTCATAGTTGTTCTCCACACTGCTATCAAGTCCCTTGCAGAACTGAGAAGTCAATTCCTTTTTCTGGATTAACTCAAACTGCCAGCATTCATTTTCCACTAGTTGCATTTTCCCAGCACTAACCCTCAGCCTGGGGTGAGGTTTCCAGCAACACCTGCAAAGTAACCTCCCTGTCCTCCTTCAAACCCTCTTGATATTCCCCTCTCTCTGAAGTCTACAAAACAATTTGCCAGTGGTTAAGCAGCTGGTATGCTGCCATCTGTTTGTAAAGCTGACTAATACTGGACTGCTGTCTCCCTCTTCTGTTTTGATATGTTTATTTGCAAAAATCATCCTTCAGGCAAGGATCATCTTTTTTTATCTGGTTCTGCACCAAAGCCCCATAAGAAAGGGGTGTGTGTGTGTGTGTCTGGTGTGCTGCTACAGTCTCCAAGTGATAACACAATGTAAATAATAATGATTTAAAAAGTGCCTTGTCTATACACAGGCCCAAGGATTTTAAGTTGTTGGTGACAGTAATGCCCTTTTTAACTTGGAAGAGTTCAAATGCTTGATGAGTGTAACTGCTTATTTCAAGTTTATAATTCACATACCTCCTGTGAATTCAGGAGCTTGTCCAGGTGATCCAAATCCTTGTAGAACATTTGTTCTTGGTGTATTTTCTCCAGCCATTCCTTCTTCTGTTTCCATTCATTGTATACATTTTCCTTCTCTTCCAACAGAGCCTGTAGTTTCTGCTGAATCTGAACACAATTTCCAATGAAAAACTCATGTTGGTCTTTATGCCCCATGGACCAGGGTAAGGTGGGAGGAGAAAGGATTAAGTGCAGTGGTGGATAAGCCCCTTAAATTGCAACAAAATTATCAAACAGAAAAAAGTAAAACAAGTCCTAGCACTTATATTTGGCATGAGAGATAAACAAAGGTGCCTCATTTCAGGAATAGAGGAACACTTCTTACAGCATATATAGCAGTCCAAGCCAAGAGAAAAGGTAGGTAACTGTTTCTCAAGTGTACCTTCTAGAATCAAATCCTAATCACCTTTAGTGATAACGGTGCAATTATAGCACTTCAAATTGGGATAGGACAGAAACTTAAGTAAATTATCAAATAGCATATTGTCCTAGTCAGTGAACAGGTGCCTCAATGTTGGACTTCATGTTATTTCAGCTTCCAAACTCTGTATATCCATAGGCCTTCTATAAATGAATTTTTCCTACATTTTTCTACAGGCAAAGGACTTTACAGTCAGGAAGATTTCTACTTACTATAGTAATACATTGCAATATTCAACTAATTTTCAGTCAGAAAGGAGAGTAATTTGCATGATCTCTGCAGTTTTCTGAAGACAGTCAAGAGATACGATAATGAATTGTCAGAGGAGAACTAAACCAGTAGGTACTGGAGGAGAAAAAATGCTGGGAGAATCTCTGAAGCTATTTGTCTCGAGTGAACTGTCATTTTGATTTCTATCTTTCATTTCCAGTGAGTAAAGTATACCAGCATAATTCATTACTACAGAAAATGTTTCAATTAATCTTTAAAGTCTCTAATATGTGTGTTTTCATTCTTTGGTTGACAGGTTTATGTCCATCCTGGTCCGGTATGAATATAGCACTGTAATGTGAAGATTAGTATTTGTGTGGAAACTCTGTTTGGGAAATGGGTAGAATTATCTCCATTGCTCAGAACATACCAAACTTCTCGAATAAGCCCAGCTTTGCTGGAGCAGGCCCTCAGGAGATGCCAGCACTCATCTGCTGCTGAGGTAGGAAATGGAAGGGTTTTTGTACCCAAGCTAGACAGCACACTGAGGCAAACACAGGTCATGCATATGGATATGTGTGAGTGTAGACACACATTTGTACACTTATGGTGCAATACAGTACAGAATTATAGTTATACTGGTGTTGAGTAGCTGAATGTGTGACTGAACTCAAATGAGATTCAATTACCTCTTTTGATCCTGTTTCCTCATCTTGCAAGAGCGACTGTCCTTCCTGTACAACATGATTATACTTCTCTTCTCGTGCTTCAATCTCTGCCAGTAGCTGTTGATGCTGGGTAAGTCTAAGGCTGCTGGTAGATATGTCCCGAATTGTCTCCTTGGCTCTCATTTCCCTGATAATTTCTGCTGTCCATGAGAAATAGTCCCAAACCTGGAACCCAAGAAAACGTGAAAGTTGAGGTCAGAGCTCAAGATTGGGTTATCAGATAGGAAAACCATAGGCTGACTGTTCAACTTTAAGGCAATAATAGGTAATAAAATCACAGATAACAAAGAAAATATTTCATTAGGGCTTAGAGCGCTTCTATGAATTTTAATAAGGGTGGACAACATGACTGTAGGTATTTCTACATACTGTGTTAAAACATACATGTTTTGTAATACCGTATTCAAACTGTGTCATATCACATAAATGACAACATGATACAATTTAATGCCCTTCAGTCCATCATTCTTTAAGTGTTTTCTGGTGTTATTCCTTCACAGAGGATAAAATAATTATCACCTGATTTTTCTGTGGCTTTGGTTAATACAAGTCTACTTGAAACTTAAGTTGTACACATATACTAAAATGAGAGTGAGAATTTTCAGGTGAAAACAGATGAACTCACTCTAATGGAGGTGGAATAAAGGCAAATCACAGTTGAGAAAAAATTGCTTAAGCATATCAGGTATGCAAGATTCAGCTCCTGAATTTTGTGGAATTATGTTGGTACAGAAACACAATTCTGGAAGGAACAAGGATGTAATGCTAGTTTGCTTTCAAAATCTGAGGAACTGATAAACATATTTACAATATCTTAAAACATCCACAGCATTTAGCTGAGGCAATTATGAGCAATAAAAATCTTACACAAATCTCAGAATTATTTTCTGATTGTGACTGAAGAGACCTGAGTAAGCAAAAAAAAAATTGACATTTTCTGTTTGTCTTTCTCTGCACTTGATTCTGCACCTTCACCAGTCCACTTACTTTAGGCATCTTGTTAGAATCTGTAATAGATGTCGTGCTCTTATGTGTCAGTTGGTAAAAACTAGGACTGCAAGGGACTGTACTAGTGATCATATTGGATGATTAATTAATTTTCATTACAGTTTAATTGTATTGGGATTAGTCAATTCAATTCTGAGGTGGTAAATAGTCTTTTAGTTTTTAAGTGTATTTTTAAGAGACTGTTAGGTATAATAAGCGCTGAAGAAAAATGCTCTTTTCCTGACAATTTTCTCTTGTGAATGGTTGCTGTCTTTTCCGTTGAAGGAAACTATGTAATGGAAATAGCTTCTTGCCTGTTCCATTTTACCCATTTTTATCCCTATCATGAAAATTTTGTATAGCTCAAAGCTGGCTTGTGAACCATCCGGCCAGGAAAAAATAGTTTCAGAAAAGCACTACAAAGTTGAAAATGGCCAAGTTGGGGTCCTAAGAGTTTAGGCTTTAAAGACAAAATACTTTTTTCCTAAAGCCAGTGAACACAGCTACTAAACGACTCTTTAAAAGGACTGTGGTCTTTTTAAAGGGGTCCACATAGTGCACATGTGTTGGTGTCATTTTGATTTGCAGAACTAATTCAGACACATCTGGATGTCACTGTAGACACTGAAATTGCATTTGGCACTGCAAATGTCTTAGACTCCCTGAGATTTTAAGCTAAGCATTAGGAAGAAATCCATAAATCTCAGGATATTTAATGCAATGGAACAATTCAAAAGCCACTAATAGGTTATTGGACTGCTACTGCCAGCAACATTTAAGGATAGACTAGGCATCAGTCTGCAGGAAACTCCTAAGCAGAGCCTGACTGATAGACGTGCAGATCCTAGCAGAAACTTCAGAACAAGAACCTCAAACCATTCAGAAACACTTTAAGTGTCTGGCTTGATAGTTTTTTTGGAAGATTTGGAGCCCTCTGCTGTTACTATGTGTTGTCAGTTGGAGCCAGCTCTGCTGTTTAATCAGACTAAAATCATACTTGATGGGATGCAAGCAGATACGCTAGATTATTGTGCAGAATTCTCATTTCATGGAAGGGCAGATTTGTTTTTGTTTCACTTCTTCTGCATACAATTTCATAATGAAAAAGCCCCATGGACTGCGTATGAACAATACTAATGAACAGAAGTACACTGAGCAGCTGTGACTAACACTAAGTTTGTAGACCTCTTGGCATGGCTGAAAGAGGAAAGGGAGCAAAGTTGCCTCTCTGCACTCAGCAATTTGGGGGATATTCTGCAGTAAAGCTGCTCTAACTTACCCTAGAGATACTGAGATTCTTTCAGTCATTAGTTATGGCTGTATAACCCTACCTTGTCCCTCTGGGCAGAAAGATGAGCTTACTGAATTTCCAGAAACAGCTCTTTACTTTTTCAGGAATTATTGTCAGGAAAGGAGGTGAAAATTGAGAGGACTGGGGATACTTCTTGCCAGTAGACTGACATCAAAGAGACAGAGAAATGCCTGAGGCATTATCCCATCTAAGCATCTCACCTGGCTTTGTCATTTTGTTTTATGATGTTAAGAAAGCACCTTAATGACTGTGTAGCCCTCTCTATTAAGCACTGATAGGTTTATATATTTTTAAGGTGTTCATTGCTTGTAAATTTACCAAAGCAGAGGAAAGGGCACAGTGCCAGAGTAAGAAATGGGCTATAGATTTACCATTCAGATCACAGGTTGCATCACAGATTTCAGACCGATTTCAGACTGGTATTTTGTATGGCTCCAGGAATAAAAAGAAAAAAGCACCCCCACCAACAGGACATTTTCTATCTGAAGTAAATAATTAAATTTATGGCATAAGTTATGAAAGAAATCAATAACAAAGTGAACTCTGAGTGACTATGTTTTAACGGATAAATCCATCAAGACTGTCTCCTGATGAAGATTCCCCCAGGCTGAAGACTTCCAGAATCTAATATCTAATATATGTTAGAAGAAAACATAATAGAAGAAGATTGTGTTGTTCTGTCATCCCTAGATCACTGTCAGAAAGACAGTGGACAAATGAACCTTTCACTTACATCAGTAGAAGCAATCTAATTTTCCTTAAGTCAAATTCTAATTAATTTTATTTCCCCGTCAACAATTCTGCACAGGAGAATGGATTCTTAGCAGTTAAAAAACAAACCAAACAAACTCTCACAAAAAAGTGCCACAAACATCCTACATGTCTAACGGTACAATGTATTTTTGGATTAAATATGACATGTTATGCTGGTTTTAACACTTTGAAGAGACTTAAAGTGGATAAGCCTAATGTGCAGAAGTAAACAAAAGCATGATGTACACTCTATTGTGGTCTTGATCCCAGCTCACAACTTGAACACAAACTTGTGGGAAGGTTTTTTCCCATGTGAGCATATCCTGGATATTCTCTGCTTCCCAGCAAACAAGGAAACAGAAAGTGAACTACCAGAGGTATCTTTAGTTGACACTGAAGTTATACCTGGAACAATTCAAGAATTCAAAGAATGTAAAGGTACTCTAGAAATCTACATTAGCAACTTTCTTCATGATTAAAAGGGGCACCCTTGCTGTTTTAGTACCCACTAATGCAACACTTGCAGCAATAATCTGCTAATTTGCAGTGGTGTCACTCAAGTGTCTTCACTGAGATTGCTGACAATTGATAAATATTCTGTGGCAATCCATAGCTCAGTGACCTACTGAGTTCTTTGGAGAGAAAACTACTGTGCATTGCAGATGATGGTATTATGCTAATGTATGCATGTCACTGTGTTTGAGCAACTGGAGAGGTTGCTGCAAAGACCGGAGACTTGTATTTGATACATTCCATGAATTAAGTTAACTGTGGGTTATTGCATACACTGAGAGAGAGAGAACAAACCTGTAGCCATTATAAATGGCTAAAATTACAAATGGGAGTCTAATATCTAGTGTTATTACTCTCACCCAGTAGGAATTGCAGGGTCTTTGAAAAGACTACTGCTGTTCATGCAAAGTGATGACCATTTCTGAAAACTCTCAATTATCCCATACACAGTTGGAAACAAGCTTCCTTTCCTACAGAAGATAAACGATCCCTACCCTATAATACATTTCTAAATAGCTACAAGCACTTAAATACTGGATTAACAACAGAGATAGCACCTGTAACATTTTACATTAACCCTTGCAGCTGGGAAGTACACCTATGACTCACACACACTGAAGGCAGCTTTCCCCTGTGTACCAATGGAAAGAAGTACTTACATGTGCCTGAAACTGGTAAAGCTTGTGTGCTTGTTCCAGCAATTTCTTGCGCAGTTCCACTTTAGACTTCAGGGCCCTCCAGTTGGTCACAATTGCCTGCTGCTTTGCTTTCAGGTCTTCCACCTGCTTCTTTGAGCAATGGGTCAGCACGTGATCTGCAGAATGGATCAGCTCCTGCAGCTATATGTAGGGACAAAAGAAGAGGGTAGGAATGAGAGTGTCACAGAGCTAATATCAGAAAACTTATGATAAGGGCTATGTTAATTGCACATGAAACTACAGTTCAAGCAACATTTTTTGCCGTAACTTTTCTCATGCAGAATAAAAGCTTCCCTAATTTCAGTTCTGTGGAATAACAGTGACACCCAGTGTTTGCAAAGGCTCATCACAACGGTGTTTTTTCAAATAGTCAGGTAGATTTTGTTTCTCCTTTTCACTGTATCACTTATTACATAAGTAATGCAAATAATAGCTAACCATACCTTGTTTTCCCCAGTGACCATATAGATTAACTGTGACTGCATTCTCTTCATGCATGTCTCATGCCCTTTTACCTTCAAAAGTAACAAGCTGCTGGTGGGATCCAATTCTAGCATCATCTACCACAAGGCCAGGATATGAGGGCACTCATATATGATACTGGGATAACTACTTCAGTAATCTCAATATAACACATGCTCTTTTAACTTTACCATTACATTTACTAAATGAAGAAAAAATACTTGTTTTATTGGTCTAGTTGAAGCTAAGCAAATCTCCTAGGTACAAGGAAGTATTCTAAACAACAGCTGTTCTCGTGGGCTGAAATTTTTCACAAGTTTGTATAACGAGACCTTTCTTCTCACAGTCTAACTCCCACCCCTCTAAACTTGTTGAAAATTCCAGACTGCTGCCCCATCCTTCCTTCTATAATTCTCTATACTTAATCAGTGCATTTTGTGTTCAATGAATATTCCATTTCTCTGCACATAAAAGAGATTCTGGATTTTTCCTTGTAATCACCCTCAGCACTTTGAAGAAGGGGGATAAATGCATCATAAATCCTGGCATAATCATACATTTCAAGCAGTGATCAAAAATATCCCTGTGAATCACTTCAATAGTCAGTGATCATTATAATACGTCCTTTATTTGTAAGATTTCAAAAGACCTACTTTATCATTGCCACCAAACCTTGAACATACTAAAAAAGCAGAAGACTAAGGAAGACCCTTAGACACTTCCAAGCTCTCACAGAGAGCCTGTAATAATTTGGTCCACAATACCAAATTATTACTGTGATTGTCTTGGAAACTTGAATTTTGGCCACACATGAAAGACCACAAATGACTTTCACTACCTGCTGCTCATTCCCAGAGAGTTCATGCTCCAGGGCCACATGGTTCCGGAGCTGGGTTTGCACACCTCTCATGTCCTTAGCAACATCATCTGGAATACTTTTGGACTTCTCCTAGAAGGAAGAAATCAGAGAAAGCTTTGTTACTTTCTACTTCCAAGCAAAACACACCACAAGCCTACTTCAGTCATTTTGTGTACTGCAACTCATACTGCACAGTTAAGGACATCCTGTGTTACTCAAGTATAATAGCTAAAAGGAAACTGGAAAAATCTGTCCTAGTAACTCACTTCTAAGTATCTCAGGGATTAAGTTACCCAACTGGACTGTGAGATGTTCAGTCTTTTCTTGATCAGACAACACAAGACAATGTCTTCCAGGCTTTGAATTGAGAATCAATCTTGAATAGCTACTGCAGTGACATATAGTGAATTTTTAATGTAGCATTAACAACCAACAGTTTCAGGCCATTATTTGGCATACAAGTGGTCTATCTGTGAACCCCCTTTAGATAAAAATTTAGTTACATGTGCTCAGGAAAGATGAGTTAAAAATGGCATACATGCAAAGAAAGATTACTGTGAAGATGACAGAAACAGAGAAACCATCACATAAAAGGAGACAAACATTTATTTAGCTCAACAAAGGTTCTGAGGGGATTTAACTGTTGCACAGACATGCACTGGGAAACAGTAAGCAAAAAAGAAAGGGCATTTCAGCTGGAGGACAACACTGTTGCTAGAATAAAATGATTTGAAATTTGTTCCAGGTCCATTTAGGTGAAAATTAGAAGAACATTTCTAACCATAGGAGAAATACATTTCTGTAACAGATTCCCAGGCTGGTTTGGGGTACCAACACCATATCTTGGTAAGGCGCTGTAAAAGGAGATGCATGTTGTAGTTGCCTGTGATATGATGGCACTGGAGTTGATGACCTAAGCAAGATCTTCTAGTACCATGTTGCTTTAAGAAACGGCTTTTCCTGGTAGACATCTGAGGAGGGGGTACACAGGAAGGGGTAGGCAAGATGACTGAATTGCCCTCCCACTCAGCAGAGAAGCTTATTAACAAGATGCTATGCAAGAAGTGTGTATTTGTTTGCCTGGGTCAAACTCAGCATGGGGATAAACCAACAGCTGGACTGTGAAGTGTTTCTGAACTACCACTTGTCACTGCCACAGAATTAACTAGTTCATCATTGAAGTTAAATATGCACCAGGTTCTGAAAATCCCAGCTGGTATACAGTGAAATATTGTGCCGTTTGATTTTCCATCCACAACAGGGAAAGAAAACAGGAATAACAGTTGAATAAGGCAGCCTCTACCAACATAAGCAACTAGAAAATCTACCACACATAACATGCCAAAGCCCTGTTGCCTTGCAAACAGTGCAAGCTCTGTTGGATTGCCTCCTCCTGTATGCATTTGTATTAGGAAACACCTCTCATTACAGCAAGGATGTGGTTTCTCTGTGAAATTCTTCAGGATGCTCAGATAGAACAGAAGCCTTAACATTTTCATTGGGACTTCCCCCCTGAGTTTTCACACTGGGACTGTTTGAAATTATTGCCAGTAGTGGGCACTGAAATGAGAGGAAAGGAATTTTGGCTCAGCTTTTTGCATCAGGTCACACGATTGCCTGACAATCTTCCAGACTAATGGCCACTGTGATTCAGACAAATGCCTTTTTCACAAGACAGTTCTTTCTTCAGCACATAAAGCTACAATAGTGTACAAAGCACCACAGCAAGGCAGTAAACACTTTCATAGTCAGGCCTGATGACTGCAAACATTACCATATGCATTGAACTGTGACACAACTTAGTTCAAGCCCTGGTCTTCTCGGCTTATCCCACAGATCAGCAGCTCTAGCTGCACCTGGTCTCACCCATGGTTCTCATAAGATGACCAGTCAGGCATCTAAGGATTACACAGGATTTCTTTTGTTTTTTTAACACTGTGAGTAACCACACAGTTTCTTACTGAGATATTTCAGAAGTCAGTAGTAAGCATGCTGAGAATCATAAGAATACTCCACAAATTAAACTGAAATGAAGTTCTCATTATATGAGACTTCCCCCCCCTTTTTTTTTTACCTCAATATGGGCCAGAGCATCTGTCAGATCTTGGAAACACTTGTGAATCACCTCAGCATCTCTCAGCCGCTCACCTCGTAATCTAGTAATTTCCAAGAGCTCCTCCCAGGAGTTCCTACAGGAGAGGACAGGGAAAAGAAACATGTAAAACCTTCAAACTAGGAGTAAAGGAGATTAACAGTCTGAGAAAGACTGAAAACAAGACCTCCTCTAACTTTGTTTTTCATTCCTGCCATTAAATTCTACCTGAATGATTCCCTGAGGGGCAGCATGTCTCTCACTCCACTCCATCCATGTCTCCTGTCTACTCCAAGCACCTAAATAGATGGTCCTATATAAGGGCACACCTCTCCAATATGCTTTTCACATTTTATATGCAGGACTCGGACCTGAGTAAGCCCCTGCTATTCCTTCATGCTTCTCTTCTGGCCCAGTTTGGACCAATGCCAGACATAAGAAGCTTGGAACATCTTAATGTTGTTCTGCAGAGCAGCCATGGGATTCAAACTCAAAAATCAGAAGCAATAAAGGAGCAACTAAACTTCTAGCCTTTTGATCCTGTTTCAAAGGGCAAGGGAAGTTCATTCACCCCTCGCTTGTAAAGTACCTCTGATGCAATTTACAAGAAGCCAAATCAGCAAGCAGATAACGTCTGCATTATAGTCGGCTATTTTTAAACGAGGCATCACAGCAGCTCTGTTTCAGTGAGCAAACCACATTATTTTGCAATTAGAGGATTGGGAGGACATGCCTTATCCTTTTCTAATTCCTTCTCACTTCCTCATCCTCAAGAGTGAGCTGAAAGAACAAAGCATTATAGGGCTAACACAAGTCTCCTACCTTAGCTCCTTCTGCTTCTGCCGAATCTCCCGGGACTCAGAATGCCCACCGTTGACCAAGCTGTCTGCCAGCTGCTGGCAAACCACAACCCTTTTCCCAGCTCCTTCCAACTGGTGTCGGAACGTGTCATATTTGGCACAAAGTTGCTTTAGAAGGAAAAACAACAATAACAAAAAAGACATTTAGATTGTTCTCTTTTTCCAAATGTACCTGCTCAGCTATCAGAGCACAGCCAAAAGACTGATCAAACTTGGAGATGGAGAAACTGCAGAGAATGAATGCATTTTATTTCTAAAGACCACGAGGAGCTACAAACTCTTAGCAAAACACGAGGTTTGTCATGCAGATGGGAGGCAGAAACACTATTACCAGGGCTAGAAACAAACATCCAATGTACAATGCATTTCAATTATTAAATTATATGCTTTCACTTCACAAATGCAAATATGTATTCAGTACTATAACTGAATAATGCAGTCCAATTTTAAGATTTAGGGCATAAGATATTTTGCAATAAATTATGAAAATGAGGATTCTGAATGGCTATTGATTTCTAACGGGCTGACATTAGATCAGTTTCTGCGCCATGTGAAGAAGAATAGCTGTAGATGTCCATACATCAACATTTGTGATGAAAAAAATCCTTAACAAACACCACACTGAAATACCTGGTTATTAAAAATAGAAAGGAGTTGCAGTCTGAAGGTGTAAACATTTTAACATGCAGTTGTTTCCTGCAGCTCAGCCCCCATAGTAACAGGATGTAAGTGTTAGGCAATGCTGCCTGCCTGCCATAACAAGTCAATCCTTCCCACCCACTCTTTACCCTTCTCTCTTTCCTTCTCCCAGCTATTTATACTTAAATTTCTTACTCTGTCCTATAAGATTTCAAGGACAACCTTAGAATCCTTTTAAAGTTTCACTGCACACAGTTTGGTTGATTTTTGATCTGTTACTTGAAAAACTCACCAAGACATGTGCATAATCATTTCCATAGTCTTCAGAGCTGGCTATTTGTTTCTGCTGAGTGATCCAGTCTTGCAGATCTTCATATTCTCGTAGAAACTCATGCAACACAAGAGTCTCATCCAGCTTCTTCCCTCTGTTGGGAGGAGACAAGACAATACAATTAGACCAAGGGAATACAAGAGGAGGGCAATCAGTAACTTTCTTCCTATTAATCTCCAAAACCTCTCACCAAAGACTTGTTTTTTTCAATGAGAGCTGACTTTATTTCTCAAGATTGGAAATTATGTTTATGGGATGGCAGTTGTCAGCCAGTTAGACTCATTGGCCAAGTTTCCCAGAAAAGCACTGTGCCTAGCTGAACTCTCTCCCTGGTTTTTTGTTTGTTTGGGTTTTGGTTGTTTTTTCTTTGTTTTTTTGGGGGGGTTTGGTGGTTTTTTTGGCACGGGGGATGTGTTGGGTGGTTGGTTTCTTTTTTCTGTTCCCATAACAATACCCTTCTTTTTTTCCCAGATCTGTTCTGATCTGTCTTTCTAAAAATAATGCAGTACTTACAGAAATGAGAAGGAAATCTTACTAACTGAGGATGGGTGCACCAGAAAGGCAAGTGCTATGAAAGCCATTTTACGCAATTCTGTTCATATTGCCTGTTGAGCAAAATTGCTGCAACTTTTTTCTTATTTCTGATTATCTAGAGTATCTTATAATACAGCCTGACATATTACAGGCCTTCCACAGTAAAGAAAATACCAATTTTCCAGCTGCTAACAGTGCCTGGCCATTGTGCAAATATGCCAGGAAAGATGAATTTGGCTGCACTGTTTGAATTGCAGATGGTCACCACAGGAGATGTAGCTTGCTGAGAAGCCCACCAAGGGAAATGCAGATCACAGGTACAAACCAGAGCACCAATAAAGCCCCATGAGACCCAGGTTAACATAAAGCATGAATGACCACAAAACATTTCTGTGTTCAAGACACACAAGCACTTTGATATTTCCAGATTGAGTATTTCTTTTTCTGAACTTTTCATTCACAGTATTTTCTATTAGTACTTTTACTTTTATAATTGTAAACAAGAATAGAAACAAAAGACAAAATATCAGCATTTCCTCTAGGCTTAATTATTCTTGTATTCAGACTCATTTATTTGTTAGTCTACTTGCAGAGCCCCATTCTTTTTCAAATTTCACAAAATTTGAAAGGATAAATTTGGAAGATAAACTGAAACTGTTCAGACATTTATTCCTTCCTCACAACAAACCAGAATGGTTTAAAAACCCTGTGTACAAGTAAACTGTCCTGTTGTAAAAATCTTACTGTAACAATAAGAGAAAGGAAGTGAAATGAAAAGTAAATTACATTTAAGAATAAACCACTTCCGATATTAGCACAGCAACTGGGTATAAAATGTAACTGTAATTATTTCCCTTCTGCTATCTAATGAATTAAGTAATTTTCAAGCAACATTAACAAAGCCTTTTAAAAACCATTTTTTCCTCTTGATAGCACACTCCAAATACCACAAATGCAAGTCAGAATCCAGCATCTCAAGTCACTTTACCCTTCATCATCTTGTAAAGAGGAAATCTGAGGGCTTCAAATCCTTAATACGTAGCAAAACTCCCTGAATAAAATGTAGAGTTCTCGCTTAGCAATAATAAAAAGCTCATAGGTGCACAGAATTCTAATATAGAAACAAGCAATTTCCTAAATACAACTAAAAAAAGAGGAGATGCTGGATATGATCTAAATTCCAGTGAAATAACTGGAGATAACCTTTATGGACTTCAGTGGGCTTTGAATCAAACCTAGGATCCAAGGGATAGTTCCAGTCTGTACCTTGCTGCTGCTAGTTCCTGCAGTTCCTGGAGCCTGGAATGAACTTGTTCCTTTGGTGCATCAACCTCAACATACTGGGTGGAGCCCGCACAAAGAGTTTGGGCACTTTCACTCAGTTCTGTCATCAAATTTTGGTAAATGGCAATCTCATGCTCCAGTGCCTGGCAGAGAAAATAGTGGATTGAGAGTCAATTTTCCAAGACACGCACTGTTTGAACTTTTGCACCAGTCTATGGTGTAGCCATTGAGACGTTAAAACAGGAGAAAACTTTCTGAAAGCATGTGATGTTTCCATGACTTGATAAGTTTTAGATCATTTTCTACCAACATTTTTTTTGAAAAAAAGGAGTACATAAATTCAAACAAATTAGGTGAATAAAGACAATTAGAAATTCCTTTTGCATTATTAGGCAGGTAGAAGTATTCCTGGAATAATATACTATCCATATCTTTGATTCTAGGGAAAAAAAAAAAGGTTTCTGCATGTACCTGTTGAGACTAAAAAGCAGATACCAGATCATATTCAGTTTGTGTCTCAAAAAAATTAGAGAATATTCACCATTCCCCCTTTTCCCCAAACTATTTTTTTTCCAACCATATTAGTAAGCTGCATTGATCTCTTCTATCAGTCCATTCACACGCAGACACACATCAATGTGAAATATCTTGTAGATGGCTGGACACTTAAGTACAAATGAGACAGAAAATTTTACAACCACAGACAGACTAGAAGATCAGGTCAGCATACAGAATTTAAGTGCAGAAATACCTTATGTTTCTTGCGGAGTTTCAAAGTTGAATCTTCATCCTTACCATAGTCCTTGCTTGTCACAAGTGGATATTTTTCTGCTATCCAAGCGTCCAGGTCTGAAGTATTCATTAAAAACTATCAGTTAAACAGAAAGAAAATTAGTTTCTACCCCAACTTTCATAATACAAAAATTTTTTGATCTAATACATTCTAAATAGAGAGTGCACTGTAAGACTTACTGTGATGTTTTATTAAATAATAAATAAAGAATATTTAATCCCAAGAACTACTATTCCACACTCTTGTTCTGTGAAATCATATGAAAGTGAAGGAGGCCACAGATGGAAGACTTCAGTGCAGGAGAACTAAAGTCTTCTCCAGGCATCAAAGCAAGTTGTCTCAATTCTCTTTGTTCACATCACTATCCTTACTTGACTCTTCCTGCATGCAGTATTTTTATTTAAAACAAGCTAACATAACAGTCTAATATCCTGTTGAAAATAATAGGGCCAGAAATCCTATCTCACTCTTAGAGTGAAAGAGTGTTATGAGCTTCTCAGTTCTCATTTTGTTGCCTGGAACGTTGGTGCCTGGATCAGGCAAAGACTGGATGGCATAAGAGATCCCATCTTTTCTGATTTCCTTGTCATAATTCTCCAGTATGAAGGGCCAGTTCAAGATCCATTGCATTACTCAAGTCAAAGCCTCAGGCTGTATAAACATGTTGAGAAAGGAGCTACCACTAGGAGAAATGTGTGTTCTACAGACAACCACAAGGGATGAGTAGAGAGTCCAAGGCAAACCTCTCAAGCAGGAGCTCTAAACTGGGGGCTACATTCAGGTTATGCAACCCAGCCCTCCATCCCCAGGAGACTGGCCTCAAGCAACTGAAGTCAATACTAGTCCCAGCAAAGCTGGTTTTTTATTCACTTTAAAATTTTGGTCATCTTGTTTGTCTGAAGAAGCTACTGTGTAAGCACTTTGCTGTAATTTGTACCTCCTGGAAGCCAACTGAGTGCTGCAGCTGCTTCATCCTCTCCTCACAGGCCTTCTCCAAGCCCTGCCAGGCAGTCACAAGCTCCTGGCACTTCTCACTTATTTTCTGAGCTGATGGATGCCGGCCTACAACCATTGTCTTTCCTTTATCCAGGACCCGCTGGATTTGCTGTTTGTGGGCATTCACCTCTGCCTGCAGTTCCTGGGAATGAGATAAAAGGAAAAACAGGAATAAAGGAAGGGTACGTCAAGACAAAGAAATTATGTGTGCTCCTAGTCCTAAGCAAAATTGCCAGCTGGTGACAGTGGGCAGAGTATAACCAGTGGACAAAACAACTGTCTCTGTTTCTACAACAGCTGCAGCCTCAGCCAGTGGTCCCAGCCCCACTTCTATAACACTCTGCTCTTGGTGCTGCCATTAAGGGAGGAGATATGAGTCTGTGAGGGTGCAGCAGACATCCCTTGACTTTCCTATGTGCTCAGCATACTCACAGAATTCCTCAGCCTGGTGCTCTGGCCTGGTTCTATCCCTTCCTCCTTACCATATACCTGCCCCTTCCCCTGCCCAGCAGCCAGAGGGGTTTGGGAGATGGAGCAGGACAAGGAATGAGACACAAAGCTGGGAGATGCTTAGAGTCCTGCTCCATAAAGCCTCTTCACTAGTCCTATAACTTGTCTCATGGAATTTGCAATCCAGGTGCTGCAAAATCCAGTGTTACCTGCGGTGCAGGGCAGCTCTGAGGTGCCCCTCTGGTTGCAGGGAGCTGCTACAAAGAATCAAACACTCCAGAAATCAAGTGTTAACTTGTCTTCAGAAATATATTGACTGTGGCTTGTTCAAACGATTTTACAAGCAGTACAGAACTAAAATAAACATTAAATGGCTGTTAAGTGCTCTCCTAGAGAATCTAGCATGCACATACCTCAAAACTGCATGTATAATGAAGCAGAAAGCATAGAACTAAAATAGTATGAGCATATAACATTCAAGGATTCAACCTCAAGAGAAAAAAAAATTGTTTTTTCCTATTTAGTGTGAGGTACACTAGCTTTTTATCCCCCTTTAATGAGAAGAGCTACAAAATTTCTCAGAATAATAATACCTCCCACAGGACTTTTCATGTTTGCTCTGAAAATCATTGCAATATTGCTGACTTGTCTCAATCCACTGGAAGCATTTTAGCTTGGCTAGTGCTGGAATTGGTGAATACTCATCGAAAGTGTGACAATACATTTTACTTGGAATGGCCTTCCTGAAGGGAAAGCACAACTGTGCAGGTGCTGGTTTGCAGGCTGAGGTGAAATGCAATGTACCAACATGCTATAATACACTCAATGAAATGAGTTACCTTGTGTTTTTGCAACAGGCTTTGAGCCACATCCAAGGACTTCCCACAGTTGGTAGAATGGGCAATAGGCAATCGCTCATTAATCCAGTTCAGTTCCATGTCATGATAATGGTAGAACTCATAGAGATCCACAGAAGCTTCCAGCAACTTACGCCTCTCATCAAGAGGTGCTTGCAAAGACTCAAACCTGGGGGTCATCCGTTAAATATATGTTAAAACAAAGCTTATCCTGATTCTGCTGAGGGAATTAGACTGTGATACCACTGTGAAGATTAGAAAACACTGGACGCTTCTTTGCAATTAAATTTCAACAGTTAGTGCTCGCTGCACATACAAGAATCCCTTCTCCAGAAATCTACTTTGGGCATGTAGACTTATACCATAACACTAAACGTCAGCAGAGGAACAGTGATTTACACTTTTGAAGTCCTAGGCTTGTCCTGTGATGTTTTAAGGAACTAGTCACTATTGAATGGTGGATTATTGCACCTCTTAGAAAGCAGTGGATAGCCCATGGGTAAGCAAAGGACTAGAGGAGGAGTGCAGCAGGCAACGAGCAAGGTCCAGTAATAAAGGCTGAGGTGGGTAAACATGCATCTGTGTAGGTGCAGATCAAAGTATAGTTGTGGTAGAACTGGGAGGAGAAATTGTTCCTGAATACAGGTTAAATCCAATCAGCTGAAAGGTATTTTCTAGAAGGTAGAACAAAAAATGCTATTTGAAACAAGGGATGGAGACAAAAAGAGAGTGACACCTCACCTGTTCAGATATTTCTGTGTTTCATCCAGAATCCTCTGAGAGTCAAAGTGATTGGTGGCCATTTTCCTTGCATGAGATACAATAGAGTTCATTTTCTCTGCCAGCTCACGTGTCTCATTTTCCAGCTGTCTGTGCTGCTTGAGTAGATCACGGCTGGAGCGCAAATCATGGCCTGTCTCAGATTCCTGAAGAACTTTCTCAATTTTCTCTATCTTCTTTTTGGCATCCTGCCAGGAAAAGATTACAGCACACTCGTACTGACCTTTCAACAGAACTTTCTTTCACTTAGCCCCCTCCCATGCCAGCTTCCTGAACACAACTTTTAAATCCATAAATCTTTAATTGGTAACTTGATGGCCAGGTATCTCCAAGAGGCATCTCCTGGGAATATTTAATTTTGCACATGATTTTGGAGTAGTCCTCTCCCTGAGACACCAAAGAACATCATCAAAAACAGTCTCTTTGAACTATCTTCAGTGACATAATACAAAACCATCAAACAATCTTCAAAGGCTTCAGATTGTAGCTACAACACAACAGCAGCAAGCAGTATTGTTTTCACAGCATTGACCCATGCAGAGGGTTTTGATTGTTTTCCAGGACAGGACAGCTACACTTATGCAGTGCTGAGCCCGAGTTCAACAGCTTTGTATCTCGGTGCTGTGCCAGCACCATTACCTGGCTGATAGCTTTGGAGTGAGCTTGGTCAGGGTTATATTGGATTTTCTCTCCTGAGACTTTAGACAAAATGGACACCTTAAAATACACTTTTACTTGCATGGTATTCTGTTCTTTTTTGTGGGGACCACGTGACAGAGGAACCAGGCTCCTAGGCAATTCCTCCCCTTTGCTCCCCACCACCCCCTGACCTGGAGCAGTTCCATGAGCTGTTCTTGCTGCCCAGCTTGTCTCAGCTTGTCACCTCGCTCTATCATCTTGCCATACAATTCCTTCCACTTCTTTTGAAGTTCTGACATCTTCTCCCGGATAGAAACTGCAGCATAATGGTTGTCTTGAATCAGCTGATTTCCTTTCTGGAGAAACACAGCACATCAGTTTTTTGAGTAGATCAGCATCTATGAAGTTTGGGACAAGATGGAAGACTTAGCTCCAAAACTGCCCTCACATTTATCAGTGTTGCAAAGTGCTCCTCATTAGCCATCATTTCCTTCTCAGCAGCCTCATGCCACTTCAGTTTGCGTAGAACATTTGTTGGATCACGATAGGATTCATCTGATGCAATCTTGTACTTCTCTTCCATCCAGATCAAAAGGTCAGCAGCATCACGATTAAACTCCTACAGAAACAAGCAGGATTAAATTGATTTGAGGTCTGTTTCTACATGGGTTTGCAGTACATCCTTCCTGTTAGGATCAAGTCCTTTTTTTTTTTTCTAACAGTTAGGAAATTTTATATATTTTCATACAAAAGTTATTCTACACAATTTGATATATTTTCATACAAAAGTTATTCTACACAATCAACAGTCTTAATTGAACAGGTATGATCTTGAACCATGGATGAGTTTTTAAGCCCTCTGAGTAATATCTCTTAGTCCCTTTTTACCACATTTACTAATCTGTTGCCTTTGAGGTATGATCTTGAACCGTGGATGAGTTTTTAAGCCCTCAGAGTAATATCTCTTAGTCCCTTTTTTACCACATTTACTAATCTGTTGCCTTTAATTGTCAGTGAAGGTTTGCATTTTCAATAGACAATTTTAACTATAAGTGGTCCAGTTCTCCAGTATAACTTTGTATCTCAGCACTGCAAGCTAAATTTGGTACCAAAATTATGGTTACTGTAAGTTATCTGTGCCAAAATATTAAGGCCCAGAACACAAATTTAGTACCAAAACTATGGTTACTGTAAGTATCTGTGCCAAAATATTAAGGCCCAGAACAATAATAAGTAATGAGTAGAATAAACTTATCCAGCAGAAGAAATATTCTGTTGATATTTTTTTATTCAATAACTCCATTTTTGCTTTGGTGTTTTGCTGTGGTTATGGCTTTGTAAGATTTATCAACAGTGCATCATCTGCTCCCTGGAAAGTGGAATTCTCTGTCTCACAGCCGAACAGGAAGTGAGCTGTAGTAGGAATGCTCACCAGTTTGAGATTTGTCCCATATTAAGACAAATGATAAAATTACTTCACGCATGCTTGACCAAATCCACAGTATCAGTCAGTTTACCTGCAGCTCTAGGGAATCCAACAACTTCTGTTTTCTCTTGGAATTGCTTTCTATCAGCCGCTCCCACCTTCGCCGGAGAGTAATCATTCTCTCTTCAATACTACCAAGAAAAACACAAGTCCAATGCAGTACTAGTCATTGGTTCCCCTTGGTTGTACTGCAGTATGACTATGATATAAATGGAATCTAGTTCAACACCTCTGTTAACAGGATGAAGGGATATATGACCCTGTCCCATGACCATTCTGGCCTCGTCTGGAAAGCAGCTATTGCTTCCTAGCTACTCTGGACTTTCCTTTTAAATGACCGTGTTACATTAGTGAATTGAAGTCGGGTATGTTTGACTAAAACACCCAGACTTTTCTCTTTCCCAAATATTCCACTTTAACTAATATTTTTCTTTGTGATGCAAGTGCAATGAGGCTCTGGTATGACCTTCTAATGGTAGTCGTGCTGGCAAGAAATCAGATTTTAATAACATTTTTATCTATTTGTGGAGGCAATTTTCAAGACATTATCATGGATTTAAATACATTTTTATCAATTTGTGGAGGCAATTTTCAAGACATTATCAGTTACGATCATAAGAACATAGTCTTTTGACCCAAGAGGTCGATTCTGACCCTATATTTCTAATTCTTGTTTGTGCAGAGGTCCCCTCACTAGATCATAGTGGCTCTAGCACAGTAAAGGAATTACAGATGATAGTTTAGCTTCAACAAAAACATGAAGGAGCTGCTCCTGATGAGTTATTTCCTTGTGAAGCCTTCCCTAACTTTTTAACAGCAAACATTAATTCAAATTTGTGATACTAATAAATGAAAGAAAATTCGTTTTATGTAGGCATTTAAGGAGTTTACATTAAAGAATTTTTAACACTATATGTAATTTATGATACAAGGCAAATTATTCTAGCATTCTGTCAAACGCCACTTGTAAGCTAAAGCATTTCACTTATTTGTCCTGAGAGCATAGGAAGTTCATATTTTTTTTAAAAAATTCCTTCACCCCTTTCTCTCCCCCCCATCCAGCAGATCACAACTTTGAGGTCAACTGAATCCTGGCTCAGAGAAAGTCTTTCATCTCACCCTGATTGCACTGGACCATTTATTAAAGCTAAATGAAAAAGGAAGGAGTTTGGACTCACACATGAGATGCAAAGTGTCTATTCTCTATTAGGTTCACTCCATTTTCATTAAGGGCTTCAATTCGTCTCTTCAGCACCATTAGCACTTGTTCAAATTGCTGATGTTGCTTTAGCAGGCTTCGAACAGCATCTACATGGTCCTGTATTTAAGAAAGAAAGTTTGATCAAGTTTTTTCTCGGACATATGTTGTTTCTGTAGCAATGAAAAAAATGTTGGACTTTATTTTCCCCCTTCTCTTTCAAACAGGAGATATAGTGCACGTTTTGCTTATGCCTAAGGATGTTCAGGGCTACAAACAAGCAGCAGGTGTTTAAGTTTGTATCATATCTGGTTCTTCTGTTTAATGTTTTCACTATGGTTCCAATTTCACCTTTTAAGAAAATACACATGCTGAATTTATGCCAGCACTCTGGCACATCTAGGTATGTGCAATACGAAAGGCTGTAACTAAGTAAAACTTTATATCACTTACATGGACAAAAAGTACTTAAGTTTCAGTTTCAGCTGAAAACCTAAAAGATGGTGGGATGCCACAACCTCCTCCTTCCCTGATCTTGTGAATACCATCTGCATTTTTTTTTTCCTTCATTTGATTTAATGGCCAATACTCAATGAAAAGAAAAAGCTTTATTTTTTTTTTAAACTCAAGTTTTTACTTTGCCAAAAAAATATATTAATTATGTTCAAGCCGAAACCTTTTTTCTTAATGATTAGCCACCAAACTAATGAGTCAATTTTATATAAACCATCTGACATGTACAAACAGCAACAAAACACAACTCTAGCAGTCTTTAAAACTTTGAGAGACAATGAGCTTTGTTCTCATTAAGATGAGTAAGAACTTAAGAACATTAATAAGAACCTGAAAGTCTAGTTTCCAAGTATTAAAATGCCATAACCACAAGAATGAGGAAACTGATCTAATTTAAAACTTTTTGCTACTCCCTGGATGGGGAGATGAAGTAGGAGAAAACAAAATCAGCTGCTGTACATACCCCAAGGTCATTTCCCCGGAGAAAGGCCTCATGGCCAGAGAGGGCTGCATTGATACGGTCTCCCTCCCTATTGAACTTCTGCAGTTCCAGGCCGTCCTGCAGCTTCTTCTGTCGCTGTTCCCACATTTTCTCCAGCAATTTGTTCTCCTCAGCAAGCCTCTCCATGGACTGGTGGACATCTGCGGTCCTGCCGTTACTGGGTTGTTCGTGGATTACTTTGCGGCCTAGCTCTTCCAGCTGCACAAATCTTACCAGAGTCAAAAAGAAAAGTGAGACCTCTCTGCATGAGGGAATATTAATTCTCTTTCATTACATCTCCTAGCTGTTTTGGCAGTGCCTAGACATTAACCTTCCCTCCCTCCCTTTCACTCTTTTTCTGCTAGCCATGGCTGTGCACTACAAAGTGCAGCTGGTTGTTTGCTCAGGGGTACATGCTGGAGGCAGTAGGTGAGATTTCCACATTTGGATTGAAAGCCCATATAAGCAGGCTTTCCCATTAAGGAGAGGAGGGCCAACTCAGTATCTGGAGCTTCATAATAGTGCAGAAGGATAACCAAAGATGATGGCAACTCAATGCATAAGGCCTCAGAAGGGAAGGAGTGGGGGAACTCAAAGTGCAGATGGTACTATCTGAGTGTCGGGTAGTTGTGGAATACTACTCCGAACATACAGCTCCTCCTTCCCCCTTCATCAGCCACTAGGATAAGTATGCAAAAAACTAACTCAATTTTGTGTTCTGCAGTCTCCTTTTTACACTCAGTTTTGAGAGTATTTGAATAAACTCTCGGCATCACTTTCATACACAATTTATATACATGATAGACATGTTTCATTTTTACAAAACTGTTGTCACACCACCCCACTCTGCCCACCCTGACAGAATCTCTCTACCTTTCTTTCTGAGACCTAATTTCTTTCAGCAGGTCCTGGTGTTCCTTCAGCAATTGCTCTGCAGAAGCAACATCTACACCCATTTCTTCACTGCTCAGTTTCTCCCGAATGCCTTCTGCCCACAACAGAAGCCTGCGGCTCTCTTGCAGGAAGGACTGTTGATTTTGTGCCCGCTGCAGAATGTCCTGCTTCTTTTGGGTCTCCAGCTTGAGCTTTGCCAGAAGCCTCTCCATGGTCTCCACCTGCTCAGTGATGGCCCTGCTCTCTGCAGGGTTGGTGTCCTTAATCCTACGAGAGGAAATAAAACACATTCAACTGGATGCACACTTCAGGCATTTAGAGCTTGAACCAGTAGTCTTTAAAAGGAATGTATTTGGATATTTACACTTCCATTAAAAAAGAAAGTCAGCTAATGCAACAAATGTTCGACGCCAGCAAGAAATATTGTTGTGCATGAAGTGTATTGCAGAAAGTGCAGCCCTGTGAAAGAGTCTGGTAACACTGTTGTGGTTCAATGATTCATTCCCACTGTGAATGTAAAGAAAACTTAAAGAAGTAAAAAACTTTAAATTCATATTTCAAATTCAAACTTCTGTGCATAATTCTTTGCTATCTTTCTTCCTTCATCCTTGCTTCACCTGATTACCCTTTTCAGGACCTAAATGATACCTAGTTCAAAATGTGGAAGTAACTCCCACTAGTAGAGATAATTTGTTAGAGCCACAAAGAATCCTGTGGTATTTATCCTCCTACAACAGTAAATTCTGGAAACAATCACTTCACTAATCACTCAGCCATACTCAAGAGAGATGAGCTCAATTCAGCAGTCAAGTCAGTTCTTCAGGTTGCTAGAAAGAGAAATTTCAAGACAAACTTCACAAGCTGCTCATTCTCTTTATACCCATAGTTTACAACATCATCTTAGAGAACTAGCAAAGAATATGGAAACAAAGAGTAGATTCCTTACGATTTTGCAACGCTCCTCAAGTATTCAATTTTCCTCTCTATCACCAGGACCTCTCTCTCAACTGTACACAGCTTGCGCTTGTCTGACTCCAGCCCAGCAGGAGAGTTCCCTGGTTCCAGATCGCCGAGTTGGACCATTTTGTCTTGCAGTAGTACTCCTATGCTCTGACAATCCTGAAGAAACGTCTTCACGTCAGCCACTCCAATCAGCTCAGAGCCCTTCTCCTCCTTCAGAGTTTCCATGCGTTCCCACCTTGGAAAGAGACAACCCCATTACTTGCATCTAGCCTCAGACACTACCCCAAAACTTGCCTTCATCTAGAGAGCAGATTCAATTTATAACCTTCATTATACATGAAATGTATCCTTTTTTCTATTCAGAAAAAGTCTTGTATAATGATTTGATCAGGACTTAAGTGGGCTGAGGGGGTGAACACTACCACTCCCCTACAATCTCAAAGCTCATCTATGGGCCATCTCAAGCAAGGGGACCTGCTCAGGTGACCAGAACACACTGGACATGATGCTAATAAACAACAATGGTCAAAATCAGGACCTGGCTGTGCCTCTCAGTTCCAGTTGGGTGGCATGGTGCCAGGACTACAAACATAACAGGTACTAAACATACTTGGTGAAGTAAAACAGGGTTTGATGATCCTTTCAGTATTTGTGAAGGACATCCTCACCCTAATGTTTAAGTAACGAACTGGGTGGCATGGTGCCAGGAGTACGAACACAACAGGTACTAAACATACTTGGTGAAGTCAAACAGAGTTTGATGATCCTTTCAGTATTTTCACTGAATTTCACTGAATTTCATACACACAGAACTCCTCTGAATCCATCACTGTCACCTGTGGGCGGATTCACGTTGTACTTCAACACACACAGAGATTGCTGCAGTTTAATATCTAAGTGTCAGGGGCCTAGAAGCACCCCTGGGTCCCAGAGACATGACACCAGGCTCAGGGCCAGCCTAGAGCCGGCACAGCTGAGGGCTGGCCCCTTCCCACTGGTGACAGTGGGGAACAGGCTGCCATACAGCTCCGAGGACTGGGACTCAGCTCTGGCCCCGGCTACCACCTCAGGCCCACCCTGCTCACCTCCCTGTGGGACTGAGGCCCCTCTACCCATGCCGGCCCGTCATCCCAAAGGGAGCAGCCCAGCCCTTCCTGCGTGCTGACAGTCTGGCCCAGGCCTCACACCAAAAATGGGCTTCCTGGCCCCGCCACAGCTGTGCCCCCTCACCACATAGTCAGGCCATGGGGACTACAGGTGCCCCCCTGCCTGCCTTGCTCCTGGCTGGGGCGGTGGGACAGGCCCCGGCTGCCAGGCCCAGACCAGGCCCCAGGGAGCACCCCTATTCCTTTGCCCCCTGTTTGGTGGTGACAGCTGCACCCAAATACAGCAAACCTCAGCCACAAGTGAAAACCTCAGCCACAAGCAAAAACTTCCCCTCAGGCCAACGCTGGGAGCTAAAAATCTATCAGACGGGTATACTTTCAGTGTAGGCTAGATTGGGCATGAAAGGTCAGTTGCCCCCATGAGACAATCCTCTGTTTAACCAGTAGCTCCTTTACCTGCTGTTGATCTCTTCCAGCCAAATCTGGATCTCAGAATATTTGCCGGGACTGATCTTTCCGTATTTAGCAGCTAAGTTTTCAATATCTCCCAGCTGGCCTTTGCCTGCAGCCAGTTCCGTTAAAAAGCTCTAAAATAGAAAATAACAAGAATGCAGAATTTGAGGTTTTTCCATTTTTATGGACATGATTCTCAATAATCCACTCATCCACTCATCTCCCACCTTCACAGGTATCCTCTCCATTTACCTGTCAGCTGACACCATGCCCACCTGTGCATGGAGTTCCCCCATAGCCCTCCTGAACCCCCTGGTGTGCACCCTGTGCCTACGCACATTATGTCCCACTCCACTGGGATTCAAGTGCACTGTAGGATTTTTTCATCATCTGGCATTTTTCTTCAAGTGGCATAAGATAAAACACAAAAAGAGTCCTTTCGTACCATGGTATTTGTGCAGACTACTACATCCACAGGAGAAGTTAAAGGGACATAATCACGTCGGCTTCAATAAGCCTGGCCTAGTTTACATGAAAGAAATACCTGATCTGTGCATGATTCCATAAGTTGAAATGAAGAAAAAGACTCTCAAAACTTAATTTCTCAACTTTACCTCTGCTCCCAAGGTCAATTTGATTTAAAAGGTGTCATTTGTGAGCATGGAAAAGGGTACCTGATATTTCTGCTGCATGACCTCCACGTTGTCTGCTTGAGGCTGAAGAGTCCGAAAAATATTCTCTTTGTCTTTCATCCATGACCGAAATTCTTCACAAGAGCTACAGAAGCGGTAATATCCAATCATCTCCTCCAGAGCCTTTTTTCTCTCCTGTAAAACAGATGAAGATTTAAGGATTGCTGTAATAACTCCTTGCTATTTGAAGTAAAGAAAAGATCCTTGGATTTAACTACAATACACAGGTGGTAGCTTAGTAGTTTTGCCAGACACAGCTGAAAGAGAACAGAGCTTGTTACCTTAAGATCACAATACTTCTTCCCAGAGCCACAGTGGTTTAAAAGCGTAAGAGAAGCAGTTGGAGAGTGCTCAGCCCCTGACAGGCAGCAAGGCCGCTGTGCTGCTTGGTGGTCCAGCGATAACGTCTGCCAGCTCCCTCAGCACTCGTGGGTGCAACCCATCAGGCCCCATGGACTTATGAATGTCCAGTTTGGCCAAGTGGTCCCGAACCTGGCCCTCCTCTACTAGAGGAAAAATTTCCTCTCTCCATACCATCCCCCTTGCCTCTAAGGCCACAGATTCATGAGGGGTAGTCCTAACAGTGAAGACTGAAGAAAAGAAGCCATTCAGCAACTCTGCTTTCTCCGTGTCTTCCACTACTAGGGTGCCCACCTCATCCATCAGTGGGCCCACATTATCCCTCACCTTTCTCTTGCTGTTAACATACTGAAAAAACCCCTTTTTGTTATTGTTAATATTGGTGGCCAAGCTGAGCTCCACTTGAGCCTTGGCCCTTCTAATTTTCCCCCTGCATATCCTCACCGCTTCATGGTATTTCTCCTTATCTGCCAGGCCCTTTTTCCAAAGATTATAAGCCTTCTTTTTGTTCCTGAGTTCCAGCCGAAGCTCTCTATTTAGCCAGGCTGGTCTTCTTCCCTTCCTGCTTGATTTTAGGGACTTGGGAATAGCTTTATCTTGCGCCTTTAAGAGTGCCTCCTTGAAGAATGACCAGCTTTCTTGGGCACCCTTGCCCTCGAGGACCATCTCCCAAGGGACACCCCCAATCATGCTCCTGAAGAGGCCAAAGTCTGCCCTTCGGAAGTCCAGGGTGGCAGTCCTGCTGGCCCCCCTCCTTGCTTCAGTGAGAATTGAAAATTTTATCATCTCATGATCACTTTGTCCAAGACGGCCTCCAACGTTTACATCCCCCACAAGACCTTCCGAGTTAACTATCAGCAGGTCCAGTAGGGCACTTTCCCTGGTCGGTTCCCTCACCAGCTGCGTTAGGAAGTTGTCTTCCACGCATTCCAAGAATCTCCAGGACTGTTGCCTCTCTGCTGTGTGAAGGACATCCTCACCCTAATGTTTAAGTAACGAAATTGCTGCAGTGCAGTACACACAGAACTCCTCTGAACCATCACTGTCACCTGTGAGCGGATTCATGTTGTACTTCAACACACTGCAGTTTAATATCTCAGTGTCAGGGGCCTAGAAGCACCCCTGGGTCCCAGAGACATGACACCAGGCTCAGGGCCAGCCTAGAGCCGGTGCGGCTGAGGGCTGGCCCCTTCCCACTGGTGACAGTTGGGGACAGGCTGCCATACAGCTCTGAGGACTGGGACTCTGCTCTGGCCCCGGCTACCACCTCAGGCCCACCCTGCTCACCTCCCTGTGGGACTGAGGCCCCTCTACCCATGCCGGCCCGTCATCCCAAAGGGAGCAGCCCAGCCCTTCCTGCGTCCTGACAGTCTGGCCCAGGCCTCACACCAAAAATGGGCTTCCTGGCCCCACCACAGCTGTGCCCCCTCACCACATAGTCAGGCCATGGGGACTACAGGTGCCCCCCTGCCTGCCTTGCTCCTGGCTGGGGCGGTGGGACAGGCCCCGGCTGCCAGGCCCAGACCAGGCCCCAGGGAGCACCCCTATTCCTTTGCCCCCTGTTTGGTGGTGACAGCTGCACCCAAATACAGCAAACCTCAGCCACAAGTGAAAACCTCAGCCACAAGCAAAAACTTCCCCTCAGGCCAACGCTGGGAGCTAAAAATCTATCAGACGGGTATACTTTCAGTGTAGGCTAGATTGGGCATGAAAGGTCAGTTGCCCCCATGAGACAATCCTCTGTTTAACCAGTAGCTCCTTTACCTGCTGTTGATCTCTTCCAGCCAAATCTGGATCTCAGAATATTTGCCGGGACTGATCTTTCCGTATTTAGCAGCTAAGTTTTCAATATCTCCCAGCTGGCCTTTGCCTGCAGCCAGTTCCGTTAAAAAGCTCTAAAATAGAAAATAACAAGAATGCAGAATTTGAGGTTTTTCCATTTTTATGGACATGATTCTCAATAATCCACTCATCCACTCATCTCCCACCTTCACAGGTATCCTCTCCATTTACCTGTCAGCTGACACCATGCCCACCTGTGCATGGAGTTCCCCCATAGCCCTCCTGAACCCCCTGGTGTGCACCCTGTGCCTACGCACATTATGTCCCACTCCACTGGGATTCAAGTGCACTGTAGGATTTTTTCATCATCTGGCATTTTTCTTCAAGTGGCATAAGATAAAACACAAAAAGAGTCCTTTCGTACCATGGTATTTGTGCAGACTACTACATCCACAGGAGAAGTTAAAGGGACATAATCACGTCGGCTTCAATAAGCCTGGCCTAGTTTACATGAAAGAAATACCTGATCTGTGCATGATTCCATAAGTTGAAATGAAGAAAAAGACTCTCAAAACTTAATTTCTCAACTTTACCTCTGCTCCCAAGGTCAATTTGATTTAAAAGGTGTCATTTGTGAGCATGGAAAAGGGTACCTGATATTTCTGCTGCATGACCTCCACGTTGTCTGCTTGAGGCTGAAGAGTCCGAAAAATATTCTCTTTGTCTTTCATCCATGACCGAAATTCTTCACAAGAGCTACAGAAGCGGTAATATCCAATCATCTCCTCCAGAGCCTTTTTTCTCTCCTGTAAAACAGATGAAGATTTAAGGATTGCTGTAATAACTCCTTGCTATTTGAAGTAAAGAAAAGATCCTTGGATTTAACTACAATACACAGGTGGTAGCTTAGTAGTTTTGCCAGACACAGCTGAAAGAGAACAGAGCTTGTTACCTTAAGATCACAATACTTCTTCCCAGAGCCACAGTGGTTTAAAAGCGTAAGAGAAGCAGTTGGAGAGTGCTCAGCCCCTGACAGGCAGCAAGGCCGCTGTGCTGCTTGCTGCTGCTGCCTGAAGATTTACCTCAGTAATCTCAGGAAAATGTAAAAGTCCCATACAACATATTTGTGTTGATCTTTAGGTCAGGATTGTGGCAGGTGGGAGTGAAAAGTAATAAATGGAGAATGCAGATTGCGGTTGTTTAGTTTTTCTGGTATCAGATAAAACAGCCCAAAGATTTAGGAGCTGCAGCAAGCAAACATTAGGGGAAAAAAATTTTAAAAAAAGGATTACACAAAAAATTCCACTCTCCATAAAGTAAAAAGAATAGAAGGTAAATGGGAATTTTGCCAACATAAGATGCATTGTGATACAAAACGTCAATTATAATCTCAAGCCTAGTACCACAGTACAGGATTGAAGCACATTATTAAACTGAAAAGCAGAAGTTGGCACAGCACTTTGCATTGCTTCACTGCTTTTGTGAACTGCAAGGCATTGGAGGGGATACTATACCTCAGCCATGCTCTGTAGATCTTCGTAAAGTGAATCTATTTCATCTTGGGTCTTCCAAATGTTCTCTGGAAGAAAATGGACATCTGGACTGGAGGTTCCAGGGAACGCAGCTTCAGATGCTGCCCAGGTTCGACTGAATTGTAGCTTATTTGTCTTTTGATTTAAGTCACCTAGGGCTTCTGTCTTCACCACCTGTTAAATGAAATTTAACAGAATCAATTTGGATCAAAATTTCACATAGAAAGAAAATCTGCACTTGCTAGTTCAAATCACAACATTCTGACTCTTTAAAAAAAATGTTTCCAGTATTTGAATCTATTTCCTTTTTTTTATTATTCTGAAAGAATGAACCAAATAACTGAAAAACTCCAGTTTTGTTTAAAGAAGCTTCATTTAGCTTATTTTAAAATATATTGACTATTTAAAAATTCTCATTTTGTGCCCACATCAAAGTTGGGTGGGATTTTTTTCCAGTTTTTAAAATTGCCAACAAACCAAGGGATTGACTATGCTCACAGTTCTATTTGTGGTGATGTTTTAGTACCTGAACATTTCCAGTTTCAAAGCCTGTGAGTGCCCTAGTGAATAAATGCTTTTATTTGCACATCGATACCATCTTGTTACATACTTTTTCATGTTTAATAACAAAGCAATAAACTTTTTTGTTCTAATAAAATTAATGTTGGAATGATGAGGTAAAGCAAAGACCAGAAGTGGTGCTCACAGCTCTCAAACTGGTTTGGCTGAACACTGAGTCATCACAGAAGTGTGAAAGGAGCAAGCTATGAAACGTGTCACTCATCTCCCCAAACTTCTATCATTGAATGAACTGATCTGAAGTCAAAAGTTCCCTTTCTAGTCAGTGACAAAGCGGGGCCATCTGCAGAGGTTGACTGCATCTTGTGTGCCTTAAACATCCATTCTGGGATTGTATGAATTGCTCCTGGAGCTGTATCATAGCTCATTATTGACAGACAGACATTCTATTGACAGACATTAGAATGCAGACATTCTAATTCTAGTTACAACATCAGAATACAGAAAGAAATTGAAAAGAAGTTTAGATTAAATGTCTACTTTTCCAAGCTGATTGAAATAATGTTCTGAGAATAAACGGCACAAAAGTATTTGTGAGGACTGGTAGAGGGAACTAATACAGATGAGAACACTATCACAGAACACTAACTAGGTGGGCTACAAGTGGCCAATGAACTTCTTTGTCATATAAAAATTTGCCTTAATTCTAACTAAAAATATCTTGTGAATTAAAGAAGTGCTCCTGTTTAGGCAATTTGGAAAATTCTACTATGACAAAATCAAAATATCTTACATAATTAAAAGCCCATCTCATTCATGTTCTTCAACAAAATGTGACACAACCCCTCATGTACTTACTGCAGCTGGAGCTTGCTCTGCTGCAATGTTGGCCTGCTCTTTCAGGCGTCTCATCTCAGAGGAGTAGGCTGCAATCTCCTTCTCCAGGCGCAAGTGACGATGTAGCAGTGCTTCGGTGCTCGACTCATCTTTGCCGTAGTCCTTGCTGGCCAGAAGGGGCTGCCTTTCTCGCAACCATGAGTTTGCTTCATCAACGTCGGCAAAGTACTGAAAGAACACAGGGAAAAAAACACTTGGTTTCATCCTGAAAGTATCATATCCAGCTCCTTCCTTTGAAAATAATGAATGAGGCAGAAACACCATTAGGTTTGTAGCTATAAGGTTATTACAGGTGTGGTGAAAGCTATGAATAAGGTAGCTCTAAACCCATGATGCATTTCATGATCACATCAAGCACAGATAATTCACAGAATCACAGTGAGTAAATAGATTCTATAATTCTTTAAAAACTCCTAACTCACTCAAACTTTATGGTACTTGATAGCATTGGTAAAAGGAACCCACAATGTACAATGTTAGTAGGCACCATGTAGTTCCAACAGGCATCTCCTTCTAAGGAATAGTCCAACAACAATGAACTCAATCTACTACAAAAGTTTTCTTCTGTTTTCCAGGATTTGCAGTTTGCCTGGCTGTGGTTGTAAAAAAGCTGAACAAGATTTTGAGATGTAGAATAGAGGTAAAACAGAAAAAAAGAAAACTCATAGTAGTGAAGGAAAAAAGGAAGAACAGCTGAATCATAATGGTGTTGAACTTACTAGACAAAAGAGAAAATTTAGACTTTGTCAAGAACAAAGCTGTGAAGTCTTGTTAAAGTGTCTCATGGGAACAACAGACTGAGGAAAAAACTTGGAAAATAGAAAAAAAGAAAACTCATAGTAGTGAAGGAAAAAAGGAAGAACAGCTGAATCATAATGGTGTTGAACTTACTAGACAAAAGAGAAAATTTAGACTTTGTCAAGAACAAAGCTGTGAAGTCTTGCTAAAGTGTCTCATGGGAACAACAGACTGAGGAAAAAACTTGGGGAAGGGATAATGCCTGAGATAACATTGTGTGATTTGTGAATGCTGCTTTTATAAGAGTTCTTTATTTGTAGATAGGTGAATGTTTGTTGGTGTAGAAGTGTAGATCAGAATGGCAGAGTCAAATGTTTCCCAGGGCTTGGGAAGTTCATGGAACCGAACTGAACCACACCTGTGCCCCCCAAGCCACACACCACAGCAGAGCCCCGCTTACCTGTTTGATGAGGGCTGCTGCCTGCAGACGGCTTTTGCGATCAGCCAGCTCATCTTGGAGCTGCTGCCACAACTTCTGGAGGTTGTCTGTCTGTTTCAGAATGTCCTCTTGGCGCATAGGGTTCTTCTGGCTCAGCTCCAAGCCCCTCCTCATCACATCGGCACATATGGCCCTGTGAGAGTTGCACTCTGCTTCAAGAGCCTAGCAGAAGGACAGGAGACATGTCAGCACAACTCAGTCCCCACCAGCTGAGGGCAAAGAGGGGGTCCTGTTCTCCACTACTGTAATACATATGTTTTTAAGAGCCCTGTGTCTTATCAACGCCTATGACTTTTCCCTGAGCCCTGACTTGATTGTCCCTTGGCTCCCCACACACAAGATTCTGTCCTGCTTATTGACTTTGACGTGAAGCTTGTTACTCAGTCTTCTCTGAAGTAGATACTCGTTTGTTATCCACCAATTCAGCTGTCTTATGCCTTCCAGAAGGCAACAAATAAGCAAACAGATGCACACAAATGTATCCATCTGTGCCCCCCATGCCACACACCACAGCAGAGCCCTGCTTACCTGTTTGATGAGAGCTGCTGCCTGCAGACGGCTTTTGCGATCAGCCAGCTCATCTTGGAGCTGCTGCCACAACTTCTGGAGGTTGTCTGTCTGTTTCAGAATGTCCTCTTGGCGCATAGGGTTCTTCTGGCTCAGCTCCAAGCCCCTCCTCATCACATCGGCACATATGGCCCTGTGAGAGTTGCACTCTGCTTCAAGAGCCTAGCAGAAGGACAGGAGACATGTCAGCACAACTCAGTCCCCACCAGCTGAGGGCAAAGAGGGGGTCCTGTTCTCCACTACTGTAATACATATGTTTTTAAGAGCCCTGTGTCTTATCAACGCCTATGACTTTTCCCTGAGCCCTGACTTGATTGTCCCTTGGCTCCCCACACACAAGATTCTGTCCTGCTTATTGACTTTGACGTGAAGCTTGTTACTCAGTCTTCTCTGAAGTAGATACTCGTTTGTTATCCACCAATTCAGCTGTCTTATGCCTTCCAGAAGGCAACAAATAAGCAAACAGATGCACACAAATGTATATTAAAATTACAGAAGAGGCTCCTGTTTCACTTCTGTCATGCAAGTTCTCAAGTCCACAGGTCTCTTCACTTGTTTACAGTGATTCTTTGCCATAAGAAGGCAGTAGCTCATACAGCTAAACTTTTGATATTAGCCCACAACAAGCTCTTAGGGAAAGTGGTAACAAATTTGTAAGCTCACACAATGTTATCCATCCTGCCTGCTTATATCTGTCTTCTTTTCACCATCTCTTTCTTTCCTCATATCTCTCTCGGCCAGAAAAGGTGAGTGGAAAAAAAAAAGCTAGCAACCTTCTTTTCCTCCTACCCAAAGTGAGCTTACATGGAGCCCAATGTCTTCACTAGGAGCTGCACTTCTAGTCCAGTATGAAGCATATTCCTTCTCTACTCTTTCCTTCCCTTCTTGGGGAAAAATCCCTACCCTATAAATTTTTTTAAAATTCCAAACAGTGGTCAGGACACTTGAGATAAGAGTGGTTTGACGGCTTTCCTGTAAGTGCTGCACTGACTGAACTGAACAACATAAATGTTCTAAAATCTTGCTATAATACAAAGACAAGGCACCACCATCAAAGTAAGATACCTTGTGCTTCTGAATGGAGGCTGTAATCTGACTGACATCTTTCCCTAATGTTGTTGTTCTTGCTAGCTTCCATTTCTCAGAGATCCACGATTCTTCTTCTTTGCAGTCACGGAAGAATTCAAAAAGCTTCAAAGCCTCTTCTAGCTGGGATTTTCTGAAACAAAGAAGCAAACAGTATCTCTCAATCAGAATTAGGATCCCATGGAGACAATGGTAGCATAATCAAAGAAGAATTTAGAAAATCAAAAATTTGAATTCCTTAATTTAACTTCACTTTGTCATAGGTTAATCTATTCATGGAAGAAGACAAGGGAAACAAAATTACATTTTTCTCTTCCTCTAGGAAAGGAGGAGACAACCACATGCTATTCAGACTTCACATAGAGCAAGCCATAATAAATGCTGAGAATGAAGCTATTTTTCATCTATGAAAACGAGTGATCTCTTTCAGTCAACTGCAATCAAAACACTCCAGTTGTTGTGTTACATATTTATAAATGGAGAAATGAAATATTTCAAATGCTGGGAAGCTGTGTCTTTTGATTAAGGGAGTGATTGGCCATTCTAATCAGGAAAAACAGAGCCATGAGTATAGCCCTACCGTGACTTGCTCAGAGCTGTGAGGTTCTGATACAGCTGACGGAGCATTTGAACTTTCGCATAAAGCACTTCTGGTTTAGCTGTGCTGTCCTTGCCGATTTCTGCTGTCTTCTGGGTGATGTGTGTCAGTCTATCACCATAGGAAGAGATCTGCGAGTCAACCAAGTTGTGCTTCTGCAGCAAATCTACTACTTCCAGGAGCTGCTTCCCACAGTCCTGAGAACTCACTAGCCCCTGCAAAGTGAGAAACAGAAGGCATTGGCAGAGAATCCATCCAGGGGCTCAGTTCAAAGAAATCAGCTGAAAGGTTCCTGTTGACTCTCCAAGCTTCTAAATGTGAAAGAGTGATGTCAGCTAGGTAAAGTTGAAATCTTTCTGATTACAGGAGTCATATTTTTCTTTCAATTTCAACAAGCTGATGGCAGCAATCCAGAGTTTCTATCTACTGCAGTGCAGGTAATAGTCTCTTCAAATAAGCATCTGTTTGCACACCTAAGTTATTTGTACTGATTAAGCACTCAAGGTCTCAGAATTCATGGATGCAAGGAATCTATAGGCAGATTGATTCGCAGTCTGTATTTGCAGAATTCTACAATATCACATTTTATGGTATGTTTTGACCGCAATGTTTTTTTGTTTGAGGAATTTAATTGCCTTTGCTATCTAAATAATGAGAAGAAGTACTTCATACTATTTAATTGGTGGCTGATGAAGGTACCAAGTGCTTAAAAGTCTGTCCTCTTTCTAGTTGTTGGATACAACTATCAATCCCATTGTAGGAAGTTATCTTTCCTTACCAGTCTTCTCCCATATCCTCAGGCTGTCATGGTTCCAACATTATTACCATTAAGTGTTCTTTGCTTACTATCACTAAGACAGGAAGATTAACAAGTTCCAGACAGCTCTTATCTTTAATTTGAAATTCACAACTTCATACAGCATGTTGATGCTTTCAACTCAGGTACAAGGCAACCTGTAGTTGCAAGGCCTTTAAATAAGACAAGGCAAGACTGAAGGATGTATATATACTTCCTGCCATTACAAAATGAATATTGAACTAGTTATTTCCTATGCTAAAGAGAAAATATGGGCTCTGACACTCTGTTAACACTTGGAAATTCTTGATAAAAGGAATCGCTGTGCATTTACACCGGAACTTTTCTCTCTCACAAGTTTAAATACCTGAAAGCCAGACATATGCCTGAGCTAGACCCCACCTGACTGGAGGTACTTTCAGAAGGTAATTCAGAAGAATTACTTGGAATGGGAACAGGAGGCTGCTTTATTCCATGTTTGCTTTTACACTTCTAAATTTAGGTGAGATTATTTCTCATCTTTATTTTACTACATAACTTGAACCTGTTGTGCACTCCCTGTAATACTGTATCTGACTAGGGAGAGCCCCTGTAGCAAAGCCAATTTTTTCTCATGTATTTACCTTCAATGATGAACTGAAATGCACAGTTTGGCATTTAAGTAAAAAGGGTGTATTTTTTCTAAGCTGATAGACTTATTTTCTGCTGGCACCAGGCACTCCCAGGAACATAGGGGCTTTTTTAGGGAGGTACACTGGTAGCAGTGCAAGCTGTGTGCTGGTGGAGAGAGCTCAGTACCTGCAGCTCTTTCAGCTCCTCGATAATGGCATCAGTGTCCCTCAGGAGGCCCAGAATTTCCTGCATTACACCCAGAGAGTGTTGTCGTCTCTGCAGCTGTTCCAGAAGATCCTGCCATTGCTTTGAAATGCTGTTTTGCCTACAAAGGAAGAGCAAAAAATTACTAATTTGGACTAAAGACTTTGGGCAGCACTGGGAGATTCTCAGCGCTTGCAGCTTTAGAAAAGCTGAGTGAACACACACAACTCCTGCCACTCGTGCAAGAAGACAGATCACAATCAGAAAACAGGCCAAAGCAATCTTGTTACCTAATTAGTGTGATCATGGTGAGGAATTTTGGCTAGCACATCAACTGTCATTCACTTTTCTAATTTAGCCTTGTTTTTTATGGATCCTCATACCTGACATCCCATATTGCTTTCATTTGATACAATGGAAAGGCTTGGACAAAAAGAAGTTGTCTTTAAATGTCTGGTTAAAGTAAAAAGTTAATGCAAACCATACTGAGTCACAATCTGATCTCATAAAGAGTTTATTTGGAAAAAAAGAAGTTGTCTTTAAATGGCTGGTTAAAGTAAAAAGTTAATCCAAACCATACTATGAGTCACAATCTGATCTCATAAAGAGTTTAGTTTACTCTTTCATAACTGTTTTTCTTAGTTTTCTCACAGGTTTCTGATTTTATTTGAACTTAGAAAAGCATTGAAATACCACAAGAGAAATTATTTGTACAGCATTCTTAGCCATTCCGAAATCAGGCTATATTGATCAGAGAAGTCATAACTTCTCAAGATTTGCTCCAAAACTGGAGTCAACCTGAGAAGACTTTGTGCCTTAACTAACCTGTATCTCCCCAAACTACACACTGAAAAAAAAAAAAAGTGTTGACTTGGAAAAAAATATATCCCTCTAAGCACTTCTGATGGAAGATAGGACTTTTGGCAGAACAAGAATTTTTATATGTAATGAACTTAAAACTATTTTTCACCAGAAATCAGTCTGAGGGGTTGATCATTCAAGAAAATGATTAAAATATTAAAGAAGGTAAAGCACTTGTCTCATCTGCTGAAACTGTTCACAGTAGAATAAATTCCTGCCAATTCTGCTCAAGAGGAACAGAGCTACAATTCATAGCTACAATGAAGCACTTGTCTCATCTGCTGAAACTCTTCACAGGTAGAATAAATTCCTGCCAGTTCTGCTCATGAGGAACAGAGCTACAATTCATAGCTACAATTCATTTTCTTCCACCACACCACAGCATTTTAATTAATTTCAACCTCCACCACTACACAGTCTCATGATCGTCACTCACTTCTTCACAATTTGGTCTTTGCCATGATAGTTCTCCCGGCTGATGACCGTGGCCATTTCATCCAAAGCTGTGAAGCGTTCCCTCCTGGGGAGTACATCTGCTACGATGGCTTCCAGCTTCTTACTGGCAGCCTCCATCCTGTCTACACTTTCTGGCCAGAAGTCCTGCTTCCCAATCACTTTCCTCATGTCTTCCAAGTAGGACTCACGCAGGGCTGCCTTCTTCAGGAACCTCTGGGCTAGCTGTTCCAGCCTTTCTAGCCTCAGCATCTCCTTCTGCAGTGCTTTTCCCCGGTTGTGTTCTGCCTTTTCCAGGATAATCCAGTGCTTTTCCACATCCTGCAGTGTCCTCCCCTCTGGGGGCAAGTATGGCCGTTGGTTGTTGGCTCTCTGCTTGGTCCTAATGTTGAAGAGATGAGCTTCAATCATGCCCTTCTCCTGATATTTGGGAGGTTTCTCCACAGTGCGGAAGGTCTTGAAGTTGGCCATCAGCAGCCACATTTCCTGAAGAGAGTTAGGGAAACGACGATCATCCAGTTCTGTCACCTTCTGTTTAATCCATTTCAGCAGGTCAGAGACCATCTGCTCATATAGAAGCTTCAAGTCATCTATCTCCTTCAGGAAGAACACGATCTGTGATGGGAATATGAAGTTTTAAGCCACATAAGAAGCAGATTGAAGCAAGGTGGGTGAACAAAAAGCAGCATCTTCATAAACCAAGCTTAGGATTCAAATAGTGGAATATGTCACGTGAACAAGTGTCAGGAAAATAGTTTTAAACAACCACGTTGCCACAGCCATCACATTTTAATACCCATGTGGTGGTAGCTATCACATCTGAGGGCAGGTGAAATCCTAGAATAACATTCCATAGGTCACAGATAAATAACTATTGTTTAATGTCTCAATTAGTCTTTTTTTATTTAAGAAAAGGTTCATTTTTGAATAAACAGCATGCATGTGGAGACTGACAGCCATTCCTATGTGGGCTGACTAGAAAGCAAGAATCCCAAACTGAGGATTCAGACTTTTTGTTTCACAATGAAAAAAAACCCAACAGATTCATTTTTTCCGTTCTCATTCCTAAAACCTAAACAGTTTTATCCCATTTAATATGCAATTACACTCTCTTAGCTTCACCACCTTAGGCTGTAGAAGACCATCAGATAAGATCCTGGTTCTCTCACATGCCCACAGCAGACTGTGATAAAACAGCCCTTCCTCAACCTCTTCTCTTGGAGCTGTTTCTCTTTATATAAATTATTAGAGAATGTTTTATAGCCAAAGAGGGGTTTGGAAGGACGTTAACTCTGATTTAATACTAATTTTCTAAGCCCAGGTCATTTATCTGTTTTATTTGTGGTCTGACCTACTTTTAGTTCAAGTTCAGGTACACACTGGAGAAAGCACATAAAATGAAATCCAAAATGAAATGAAAAGTGGCAGAATTAAATAATTCTCTTTCCATTTCACATTTTTTTCCATCTTTGTCTTTTTACTTTATATTTTATTTTTTCCTTGACCTCCTGCAGACATTACCTTTAATACTGAACAATATTGTCTGCCTCTACCATTCCCCTGAGCCCACCTGCTCCAAACAGGCAGATTAGTAAGGGAGATGGCACTGAGCAAAAACCCAGTCCCTGCAGGTGGTAATCTGCTCTCACCTACCAGAACGCGCGTGTGGCAATGAATAAGTGTCACAGCGCTGGAAGAGGAGTAAAACAGCACCAACCTTTAGTGCAGGAAAAGCAGCCCGTGACATCAGGGCTCCCTTCTGTATTTTCTGCCATCGTACCCAGTTCTCGCTGAAAGATCCTAGCAAATGCATGGTCACCTCCCATGGGAGGGGGAAAGGAGATTTACCTCCCCGGGTTGATTCTCTCTGCCATCCTGGTCACACACTTAGTCTGAACTCAAAGGCTTCCTTGACACATTCAGGCTTCCCTCCCCAATCCTATTAGTAAGTTCAGAGCTGCCTATTTGAGGGGACTAAGGACATGAAGAGATTAACAACTGTTTAGTTCTCCTTCTGAATATTTGTGCATGTCAGAAATGCAGGAAGCCAGGAATGGAATATTAGAGACAGGCTAAAAATTGGGAAGGAGGTAAAAAGAGAAAAAGAAGCAGGTAAGTGGAAAGTGAGAGAGAAAAGAAAGAATAAATATTCCTGTACGAAACAGAAAAAACAGTGGAGCACAAGAACTGAAAAAGTACAAAGTAAGAAATACTCTATTTTTTTCCTTAATATGAAAGTTACAGCCTATTTGATACTCAGAGTTCCTCTAGTACACGCTTGGTGACTCAAGGACTATTTCAGGTTTATCAGAAGAAAAGTAATGCCTCCTGGCCAAAATCCAAAGACTCACATGTAGATGAGTCAAATCCTACTGCCCACTCTCCTCACTGATGTCCAATCTTTGTTTGACTGAATTCCAAGTCTTGCTCTCATCTAACGCTTCTCTTCAGAGAACATCGCTGCTACTGATACATGTTTTGGCATCATCTTTTTTCTTGTTGCAGACCACTTCGTTAGCTGAGGACACCCTGCTTTGCAAAAGCTTTTTGCCTTGTCACCACCAGGGAAGTCTTAGTCTGGATTTTTGATCATATGTGAGACAAAAAGTATGTGGAACCCAAAAAAAGAATTTTTTTTAGCTTTTCTCTAGGAGTGTTTCCCCTTCTTTTGCCCTCCCTCATTTTTCATGTCTTTTTCTTGTTTGGTTGGTTGGGGTGTTTTTTTTTTCATTTTGCATTTTCTATCTGACTAAGGAGCTAAAAAGAAAGGTGAGGATTTTCACAGGAAATGAAAATCCAAAGTAGTCTCATAGAATAAGGCATCATCTTTCCTATTAAATTAAAAACCTGTTGACTAGGTCTGCTTTTGCCTAGCAGTAATCCTCCCAAGATTTAATGCCTAAAGCTGCCTTGGAACCACATCAGTTCTCAAACAGGAGCTGTGAGGTCAAAAAGGGATTCATTTTCAGTGAGGTAAATGCAATGCCCTTTAAAGATCAGGGAGTCTACAGACACTTCTCAAGATTCAAATGGCTGTGCCGCTTAATTCAGGTCAAGTGATCCTGAAGCTGAGCTTGCACAAAAAAACCCCAATTTCAAACATAAATTTAGTTTTATGTGTTTAACTTTTAACTTCTGAAGACAGAAATGCACTTACTTTGGCAAGTCGCTTTTGTATTGTCTGTCCTTGTTTCAGTCTGGAGAAGTAGTGGTAATAGAGTGAAACATAAGTCATGATGGATCTCTCATCTGGGTAGGGTACGGCCACATCCTCTGCATCAAGCAGTTTACTGATTCCTAGCTCTTTCTCAGCAACATTGAAGGCATTATTCAGGTTTTTGATGGGCTGGTCCTGCCGTAGTGAGCTATAGTGGATAAGATCAGGCCTGGAAAAGGAGAACAGGGCGTGGAAGGGAAAAAAGATTTATGTTTGTCATATGTTCTTTCAGATTATAAACCATAAACTGTTTATTAGACAAAGGAATGTGACATTAACACTGAAATTACTCTGTCTGACCCTGAGCTTCATTCAAGAGCGTCACTGCTTGCCTATGTAACAGGAAGAAAACTGTCCCTTATTAAACTGAAGTACCACTCCCAGCAAATCTCTGCCCTTCACTTATTTCTCTTCACAGATGGGTGAAATCCACAGCCCACTGGAGAAGCAATTCTGAAAAGGGAGGTGACTTCCAGCTGGGGAAGTTACAGGATCCCACCATGATATCCTGGCAGAAGATGTAGTAGAACTGTTAATGGGAAGAAACGTTCAAGGTTCTCCCAGGTGGTTTTTCTCTCCTGCCTTTGGCAGTTCGCTTCACACTTTTTCAAAGGGACAGAGAAGGGATCATAACAGAGACTGAGAGGTTGCTTACTCTGTTACAATTAAACGAGAAGCTATACAATAAAACCAGTCTTTAAAATGATAACTTTTGAAAAAGAGCAATGGGAACATGACTGAGGGGCTGAGACCAAATAATGGGCAGCGTTGCTCAGATGCGTGATAGACCCTTGGAAATTTTACTTGAGGCCCAACAAAGGGAATCACCAAGCAGGAGCTTTTGGTCCTTTCTTCCTCAGAGAGAGAATACCCATTTAAGAAAAGAGAGTCTTCAGTGAGACGGGGCAAAGAGAGAATTTGATAATTTCTTGACAAATACTTTAATTCAGACCCTGGAACAACTTGTGCTGGAGCTAAAAACAGCAATGAGCAACTCCTCCTGAACCAACCCATCAGATCATACCTGTGAGCATGTATGAGCGCATTGAAGGCCAGTCCATCACTCCAGCTTTTGGAGAAGTCCTTTACATTCACATTGGAGTAGCTGGCAGTTTTATGCTGACACCAAAGTAGTAAGGCTTCATTGGCAAGCAGACCATCAGCTTTGCCTCCAAATTCTTCCTGTGAAGAGAGCAGGAAAAGAAAAATCAGTGTGAGCAATATATGAAAGTAGCATCAGTGGATTTATCTTATGTTTCCAATGTTCACTTTCTATTACTTGTGTTCTAGTCACAAATCCCTTCAAATTCATAACCTGAAGACTGTATCTGCCATGAAGGTAAAATGATTTAACATGAAAGTAGAAGTTTTTCTGTTAAAGTAAAAGTGAAATGAATGAACTCAGAAATTATAACATGAAATGAAGGTGTTAAAAAGTTTTTAAATGTTTCTCTTCTGCAAAGTTTGTAGAAATTAAGTGGAAAGCAAAGCCCAGTTTATTTGTTTTCTTAGCTGTGAACAAGAACTCAGAAACAAAATATAATGTATCCAGGTCTAATATTAGAAATTATTAACTTTGATTTCATAATACCTTCAAGGATCTTACCTTTCATGTACTTAAAGTACATGTTTAATAATCTAAACAAAAATACTTTTCTTCAGAGAAAAAGCAAAGGAGCAGCATGCAGTTCAGATCTAGAGAGAGAACCGTCATGAGAGAAATCTTCTGGAGTCAAAAGCCAGTAAAAAGTTTGTGGAAAAGATGAACATGAATATTCTATCTATCTCCAAGTTACTGTTTTCTATCTCTGAGAAACTAAAAGATTGATTCAATCGCTGGTTTTAGAAATTCAGAAATTGCTGGCTGAGTACCCGGGTAATATTATAGGATCTGCATGATACAAAGGGGCAGGAAACATCATCAAAATGGTCCTTGTCTGCCTGAAACTCTACAGAGTATCTGAAATACTCTAATCAGTCAAAAAGACAAAGATGCTGTTTTACCTTATCAAGTTTGATAGATGAAATCTGGAAACGAAGTATAATGATCCAGATAAGTCCCAGGATTAAGGTTCTGTCACCATCTACGATATTCTCAGGACCAATCACTTTTACTTGTACCTGCTAATAAATCAATATCCATTCAGCATAAAAGTTCTCATGTCCAGTTCTCTGAAGGAGATATCTGTGTAACAAGCTATTATTGAAGAAGGTGTTCAGGCTGTTTTCTTAAGGAAACAAGTTTTATGTGATCTCTTCATTTGTCTATATACCTACAAGTTCCTATGTTCACACCCTATGTTCATGTCCACCAAGGATGAGTTTCAGCAAAAGCCCGGCAAAGGGATGGTGGTCTCAAAGATTTAAAGTTCCTCTAAGGGTTTTGAAAACTGGTGGTTAAGGAGAGGAAAGCAACACTATTCAACAGTCCTTTCCTCCAAAGGAGCGGTGGCAGGACAAGCTCAAAGACCATCTCCTCTGGCTGGTCTCCAGCCAGCTAGTCGGCATATAGCTCCTCGGCACACCAAACAGTACAAACATCCTACTAGAGAAACCATGGCTGCCTTCTCTCTTAATACTCAAACAGCAAGCAGGATTTTTGTTTATGCCAAGAAGGTGATATCTCTTCAAGAAGTCTGAGCATGCTATGCTGGCTCCTGCTGTCTGCATGATCCCCTCTCTGGAGGGTGGACTCACATGAGAAGCGATGGTTGGCTGGTCCAGCTGGCAGAGCCTGGGTGTGCACTTAACACTGGGCCTTACGTGGTCTGGACCCTTAGCAGGCATCTGTCAGCCAGAGCCACATGCTCTATTGCATCTGTTTTGTAATTAGCAAATATCCAGACATGATATACTTTCCCACATCTACTGCTATGAAACCCCTCTGCTCCTTTCGAATTCATAGCACAGAGTTTTGTATGACAATTCTCTAGAGAGGTCTACAACAAATTTATTGCTCAGAAAAGAAAATAAATGTCATAGTGACTCCCTGAAATGAGGATGCACAATTGGAATAAATAAACCCACTGCAATGGCTTGCTGAAACTGTTAGAATCAGAGCTCTAAAAATCTCCATTTTTATAGCAGGTAGCTTCACCTTTGCCTAATAAGGTTTGCTTTCCCCCAACATCTACACAAACATAACATCTAGAAAGACACACCTAAATGAAAGTGTACTGTATTTCTGTGTCTTGTTTGGGGGGAACATTAGCTGTTTGTAAGTCATGTTACTCAAATAACAAAGAAATTCAAATCTGATTGTTCTCTTTTCCCTTACTAAAGGGAAGACTATCTTACTGTGTATTAGAGGGGGAAATCATAATGAACATAATACTAAAATTAGTTAGTAACATACATAAGCTGTTTTGACCTCTAGTATCAATATTAACTTACCTTGGATTTCAGAAATGAGATGGCTTTGCTGTTGTTCTCTAGAAAATGCACTCTCATCTTTCCCCGGTTTGGTTTGGGCAAAGCTTCTCCAGAGAGAAGCTCAAGGAGTCGCATGAGAGAGATGCCATCCTTCAAGTCGGTGTAAATATTGTCTATCTCAATCTTTACCTGTGAAGACCAGTCACACAATACAGACTCTGGCTGAATGCTCTTTCACTGAGAATTCTGTATGTCAGTGAATATACGTGAAAAGTGATGAATCTTAATTCACAAAAAATGCATTTGCAGGAGGACTGATGTTATTTATGAAAGTAGGCTGATGTCAAAAAAAAAAAAAAGCAACCACAAAACACAACTGACAAATAAAGAAAAATACAGGAGATTTTGAAAACATATAAAAGAATTCAGCATTTTCAAAATCAAACATTTTGAAAGTGCTGACATTTTTTAGTTCAATTCAAATGAATCTTTTCAACTTTTTGTTCTGAGCAATGCATTTCATTTAAAAATTGAGCCGACAGTCCCATTCAATGACTCAGTTTTTCCACCATAGTCTCAACAAAGTCTGTTACATCCTGCTTAGACCTGCGCCACCACCCAAAGTCTCCATATTTTTAGCCAGCATCTCACACTAAGCGAAAGATTAAGATCTTTTAAAAAAACGTATTTAATTTCTGCCAGTAGTGAGGTCACCCAGTGCTTAGGTGATACAATATGACACAGTGTGTACTCTGACCTAACAAGAACTTGCTTGTGGGCGTTTCCGTTTGGCCTTATGCCACTAGCCATCAAGAAGTGACATTAAAACCATACCACACACCCATCCAACAATAATTTACTGTGATTTTGAAATCATGGTAAATAACTTTTTGTCTTCAGAACAAAAAAGTAATTCTGAATGCAAGTAGTAGCTTTTTTAATTCAGAGAATAGTTATATCGGGGGGGGGGGGGGAACAGGCACTTTTTCATTCCTCATCAATTATTAATCAGTTTAACAGTTTCTCCAGAGAAAGAAGAAAGCACTGAAAGTGCAAAGAGAGTCTTTAAGCCTGTACTGTGTGTGGAACAAGAATTTACAACTTTCTCTGACTGATTATCCCCATGAAAAACTCCCTGTTGAGTTGCCAACTTTTTGCATATTAAATAAACTTAAAATTCTGCCTATGTTATTTTACCATAAAAAAAAGTTAAAGCCCTTATATTCTGTGACACTTCTCTAAATGAAGAATAGTTCCATTTAAATTTGTAAAGAGACAGTCTTCATATAAGTGCTTTATGCCTCACCCAGCAATAGTTTTAATAGCTTTGCTGCATCATTCGTCTCATAAAGATACCAGCCACAGATTGCTTAACAAATTCAATCCAATAGCATCTTTATGAAGGAGTCAACAGGGCAGCTGAGACTACTGCAGTGTCCTTTTGTACAACCCAATCATGTTACAGTGTGTGCTGAAAAGCTGAGACTCCCTTGCTGAGGAGACCTAGATAAGCCATCAGTCTCTGCACCGTTTCTTACCGTATATGGCTTGGATAAGCTCTCGCAGGCTTTTCTCCCCATGCTTTTATGATACATGAACAAGTACTGTTCAGGAAGTTAATACTGACATTTTAATCTTTGAACTTGAAGGTGGTTTTAAAATGAGAAAGTATATATTTATCTATTTATATTCTGCTAAACAGAAATAATTTCCTGTACCATAAAACCCTAACTTTCTGCAAGTTAGGTAAGAAAAATAAATTTTAAAGCTTTCTGTGCTCTGAGGCTGCCTTTGCACTAATCACTAATTTAAAACATAACCCTGAAAACAATGCATCTAGTACTGAAACATCATATAACAGTGATGAGCTAGTATAGAACTAAGAGCCCTAGTCCTGCTTGGTGTCACCAAGGTCCATTTTAATTAATACCAGCTACAGACTCTAGAAAAGGGAATCGTTTTTATAAGATCTGATTCCCTGCTGTGACACAGCTACATCATTTGTGCCTGAAATGAGTTTATCTGCAGTCAGTCTGGAGACATTTGGAATATGTTGGGGTTACCTTAAACACACAAATCCACTGTAGACTAGCTCTGAAGCTTTTTGGAAGTCTGGGACTTACTGAAAACAAGTTGGTCTGTACTTTACATGGTAGTATGTCTGAAATTGCTAGACTTAAGGCAATTTTTTCAGTCATTGAGCAGCAGCCCGAGCTGGACCGATTAGGCAAAGCAGAAAGTCTTAAATTTTGACCAATTAAGAACTGAACGTTGTTGCGGAAAATTCAGACATTTGAAGGTACTTTACTTAAAGGAAAAAGAAGAGCAAATAAAGATCTTCCTCTGAGACGACCACCAAGATACAGTGGACACCACAATATGACAGGGTTGTAAAGCCTACAGAAGTGAACCATAATTTCAGGAAACACTGGTAACACGGACAATGGAGGCAGATGTAAGGTAAAAGATATGGGCTGGAGCACTCTGCTTAGTCAAAGCCTTCCTTGTTTGCATATGTGTGTCATGACACTCAGGAAAAATAGTAAAAAATAACAAAAAAAAAGCATACAGCGGGTGAAATAAATAAATGAAATACATAAATAAATAATAGGGAAAAAAAAATGAAGGAACCACCTACATCATTCCTGAAGAAAACATTGTTCATCCAGTTGGTGAAGGTTTTCTTTTGCATGAACATACGCTGCTCCTGCAGCTTTTTGATATGATCTTTTTCATATTCAGTATCCATGGTCACCTAGGAAAGTCAGAAACTCCAGTGAGGTGCTCAGTGCTGAAAAGATCTGCCTGGCCAGTTACAAAAAAAGAGTAACGTGCCCAGCGTACGTAGGGAACCCAGCCCCACGGGTACAAGATTTGATACCACACCCAGTATAATACCCTAGTTTCCTCTTGTACTTTGCACTTTTAATTTCCCTCAACTTTATTTTTAATGTACTTGAGTTCTCCCTTTTCAAATGCATCTCTAGTTTCAAGATAAAAACATGACATGTATCTGTGCAGCTTTACTTTCTATCTTTCAGCAGCTCCCCAGTGACTTGATCCCATCAGAAGCACCATGATCTGAAAGCTGCCAATAACTTCCTTGAGTGTGCTGGAAGCACATGACAGAGAACTGATCTTAAACCCTGCCAGAAACAGGGATCTGCAAAGCCCTTCTAACACAGAGCTTGAAACTGTGTTATGTTCTCTGAGGACCGGTTGAGATGCTGCTGTTGGCTTTCAGACCACAGTATTTCCAACAGAAATAAAATAGCTGCTTAGAGAGGAAATTGAACCAACCCCTGTCTTTCCTCTCATTAGTTCAGTTTTTGCATATCTGTCACTGTAAGGATGGTGACACAGGTCCACAATCACATGGACAAGGTCCTAGGATGGGAGTCGGGAAGCATTATTCCTCTTCCCCGGGCTGTGTCAGACTTCTCTGCCTCACCCGTACCAGTGAAAATTCAGGCTTGCAATTCATCACAGCACCCAAGCTGAACATTCAGGAAGATAAGAAAGGAAGACTCTTCTCTTTAGAGTCTGTGACACAATAAACTGGATCTCAGCTCAACTGAGTAACTCTTTTGGAGTCATTTGGCTTATGGTGTAAATCTGTAACAGCAGTGACCTTGCTGTTACAAAGGCAAGAGAAGCACTTAACAAAAAGTAAACATCAGTGTAAGATCCAGAGCTACAGACATGTTTAGCAACCAAACATCATCATCTTGAACTACTGCCATAATTGTAAGTATTACCTGGGTATCAGCCTAGCTGCAAACCCAAGAAACCTGTTGGAATGGCGGTAGAAGAGAGAGGTGTCTGCTGCTGTCAACCCACTGCAAAGAGAGAAAGGAATGAGAAATTAAAACCTCTGACAAACTGCAGAGGTGTGGAGCAGGGTGACCTGCTTCCCAAATACTCTGTGTCCATTTCGCGAAGGCCGAGCTCTGAGATTTTTTGATTCATAAAACATAAAATACCAAAAAAACCCACATTATCTGTCTTAATGTGAGGTGACAGCAACAGGGAATGAACAACAGCAGCCACTGTATATGGGAAGTTGCTTGCCTGATTGCCATGCTCTAAGAAATAGGAAGAATTTTTCCATTTTACAAGATGAAAAGGTGTGGCAAGTACAGAAGCAACAATTTGTGATTTGTTACTGCTTTTTTTTTTTTTTTTGGCAGATGTTTCTCAACCGCCAGTGCTTGACTTCTGCAAAACATGGACAGCATTAAGGCCTGACAGTTCAGCAACAACACAGGGAAGGCTCACAACCATACATGGAAGCCTTAAGAAGGAAGAATTTAGCAAAGTTTGAAATGGAACTACAAATATGACCCTCACAATATTTTCTGATCTTTTGGTCTAGTTCAGTACTGCCTGCTTTCTCCATCTGGAGAGCAGATACTCAAAGAATTGCCTTTCCCTGCCAGAGGGGTGATATTAACTCACTCCCATGTAATAAACCCATATAGTTAAACCCATATCATAATGCCATTTCTGAATTTGCCAAATGGTTCACAGAATGTCTGTGGTCTCCTTTTTTTAAAAGGATTGTTATCCAAGCATTGCAGCCACCCTGAACAATGACCAAACTGATTTCCTTCAGGTACAAGGGAAGCTTATTTGCTGCAGCTCACCTGCTTTATTAAATTCAGTTAGAAATGCTCCCTGCATCAGTAGATGATTACCTGAAAACGGATCTATAACATGTTATCTGCATTTGCAGGACGCAAAGGCAGTGCTAAGAGTCAAATCTGGCTATAATAATACAGTAGCAAAAAAGACCAAAGAACATTAAAAAAAAATAAAAATACTTACTCAGGTTTGGAGGAACTCCTTTCTGACGTTCAGCAGTTGGTCACTCTGGAGAATGACTCTCAGCTGTCGATCCACTCCTAGTCCTATGTTCAGCTCGTTGTTTTCATGCAAAACAACCTTTGAATTCAGGAACAGAGGCCAAGTATTTATGATCTACCTATGAACCTTTCATCTGATCTAAAGGAAATAACCCATCAGAACACAACGAGTAAAGATTGTCACAGGCCTTGTCCAATTCTTATAGTCAAAAATGATGTGTGAACAGCACCAAAATTGCTATGAAGCAGTGAAAACAGTCATTCATCATGCTGACACTTTGGTAAAGAGCATCTTTCACATTTTCACTGAAGGCTCTGACTGATCACAGGTGGCTTTTCTAAAGGAATGCTTACCTGGGAAATTGAACCTGACAATGGAGTCTGAAAACGAAAGCACAGCAGAGGGTACAAAGATCAGAGCAATTCCCAGGTGGTTAAATTGGGATATGGCAAACAAAAAGGTGAAATTGTGAAGCGTTAGGAATTTGCTCATCACTTCTCTGAGGAAGCTCACGTACACAGATACCTGCTGCTGGCAGGGCAAACTGGGATCAAGCTGGCAGTGGCAGCTGCTTCTGAAGTTTGCTGTTGATGGACTTCTCATTAATAACAAAAAAGGAAAATAATTCTGGTAACTTATATAGCAGTGAGTCCTTTCTGTCACTTACAAGGTTGCACAAGCACAGAACATATTGACCTGGCATCATTTCTGAGAACCAGAGGGATGGTGCTGGGAATCATTGCTAGAAAGCAGGCAGGCATCTGAAATCAGAAGCTGCAACTGATGTTGTCTAGCTCAGAGATGAGGTAAGGGAATAGCAGTCTTTTCCCTTCTGGCAAGTGTAGTTTAGTTTGCATCCAAAAGTGACGGGAGGAAACACGTAAGATGAAATTAACAAACCCCCCAAAACTCAGTACAGGCAAAACTTGATCGACAAAATTTGTATTGTCATACACACCCTAGAAAAATGTCATACATAGCATCACATGAGACAGCTGAAAACAAAAATATGAATACATATGTTACAGGTATTACTCAACATATTCCCTCCAAATTCCTGGGCTCACATTCACCAGCCAACTAACAGAATGCCATTCTTAATGATCATTAAATAGGAAAATAGGATGAGAGGAAGAAAGGGATATAAATTCAACAACTGTTTGCATATCTTCCATAAGCTCATTGCCTAGTTATAATTCAACTCGTCTCTTTTCTGTCTTGCTTTTAGTTATACATACGTTCTTCTAAAGGTAGGATTATAGGCAGTTGGTTTTAATCTGGTACAGGTTGGTCAGGTTGTGTGTGTTGAGAAAATGTCCTTGCTCCTGTCAAATGGGAGGCAGAGGAACAGTAGGTGAATAGGCTCTGGATGCAGGCATTTCTCCCTATTGCAAGTTAATTATTATCTAAATGATTAAATATGTGAAACATTGGTTTTGTTTTTTATGACGATACAAGACAATCAATGATGCGGTTTGAAATTTCACTAACTCCTGAATGCCTATCTCCATTTGTAGTATCTATCTACAGTTCAAAGTTGAAACAGTGGAGGTTTACGTGACGCTGACAAATAAAGACATTTCCTCAATTATTTATATCCTAACAAGGTAAGAGGAAGGGCACAAAAATATTTGTGTGCAGCTTCCTGGAGGGACCAAGAAAAAAATCACCCCTCCAGGCTAATTATGGACCCTCTCTTGCTGGCTCGGCAAAGAAGGGGAGCCCGGCCAGCGATCTCAGGAAGGTGGAGAAGGGCTCAAAGAGCATCCTCCCTTGGCCCTGTGTTCAGTCTGAAGTGGTTTTCTTGTTTCTTAACAGGAAGGACCCTGATGTGGGATTCCCTTCTGCAAAGCGGCAGCCACATCAGAGGCGTTAGGTTTTTTGCACCCTTTCTTATCTGCCCGCCATCTTGTCCTGCTGAAGAGGGAAACAGAGACCGTGGAGATCAAACGGACCTCACACCCAAGCAGCCCAGCTTGCAGCCCCAAAGGTCCTCTGAACCAGCCCTCCCCCTAGTGTTCTTCTACTCCTGGCAACACCACATAGAATTTGAATTCTTATTTTTTATTTAAATATAGTCATCCTCCTCCTCTCACAACAAGTATGTGAATTTCCAGCTCCTCTCCAAGATGGGGAAAAAATGTTCAATCCCCCTGTTGCAAAGAGCATGAAAGCGACAGTCACAGGACCAGCAGAGGGCTGGAGACATGGAGTTTGCTGCTCCCACTCCCACCCCTGATCTGAGGGAGAGCTGATCACCATGAGCTTTCCTGGGATAGCAGAGCCCTCGTCCTGTGGAGACCTCCCTGGTCCCACTCTCCAGGCCAGGGAGGCTTGTGCCCCTCGCCCTTCAGGATGGAGGAGTTTGCCAGAGAGGAATACATTCGCACAGGTGGGCACAGGTGCCTTCATGGGCCAAAGTGTCCCTGCCTCAGGCCGTTTGCAGCTGACTGTCCCGTAATTAAATGAGCCTTTCATCATACTAAGCTACAACATCCATGCTCCGAGCTGTCAGTGAGCAAAGCCAGCTCTGATTTAAAAGCCATGTGGCCATACTCATGCCTGCTCTTATAGAGGACTGAATTTATTCACAGCGCTGAGGTGAAAGGTTTGGCACAGCCCATCACCCGCCATTACGTATGCTTTGCATACACACGTTCCTAAAGGTACATGAAAATCTTTGTCTGATCTCTGCTACAGCAAAGGTTCTCCAAATCTCAAAGAAAATAAGTATGTTAAGCACAAACACATGCATGACAGCTCGGGCCTCTGCCCCCCACCGTGTCTCCAGCCATGTTGCTTCCACATGTAAGAGTCTCAAAACAACAAACATCTGGGCCTCGAGGCTGCAGAGCAGGAAGGCAGACCCTCCTCAGAGCCATGGTCTTGCAGCCCCCAACACACCAAGCAAGCACAGAAACTACTCTGCTGCCTGGGGCCACCAGCCCAGGTCCTACAGGTAGCCCTCCCCTCTGCCACCCTCCCCAGCTCCGATGTTCAGTCTCACCAAAGCAGCGCAGGCACAGGTGAGATGAACCGTGATCCCAGAATATTTCCTAACCACATCCTGAACTACAGCGAATCTTAGGACCTCATCATGGCACAGAGGAGCTACGTTTTGGATGCTGAGAACATCGGAGAGCAGCAGGCAGTCATTATTGCGAGAAGCTCTTTGCTCATTTGGGATACTGAGGCTGAAGAAAAGTTGGGGAGTTGGTCAAAAGCTGCCTTGGAGAGGCGTGGAGACCTCCAGCCATCAGTCTCCACAGATTCCCTGCTTTCGCAGGCCTCTCAGCTGAACTGTCTCTAAATAGCCAAATATTTCTACCAGCTTCTCTCCCCAGGGGCTCCAGCTCACCAGCCCCAGGCACAACCCCCTCTGCTGCCCCACATACCTGCCGTCCCAGCGCCGCCGTCACCAGCCACCCCGGGGTGCCACCCACCCGAGGGCAGGGGGGTCCCCGGCGGATGGAGCCCCAGCTCCTCTTAAAGCTGAGCTCTGCCCAGGAGGATCTAAACCGACATCCCGGGATGCCGGGTTGTTATAAACCTCAGCCTCCCCATGCTCTAGTCTAAACTAGAAGTTGCTTTTCTCTTTGAATAGTTGGCTGGCAGCGACATGACATCAACAGGGAGCAGAATTCAAGCAGAACAGTCGAATTACATCATCCAAAGGAACTGGAGCCCCTCACTGCATTTGAAAAAGAGGACAGCTTAAAGCAAAATCAGATGGATTTATTTTTCCTGGCACAAAGAAGTTCAGTCATCTTTTTCAAACAGAAAATATACGTTTGCTTGTTTAGTCATGAATTAAAGACATTTTCTCCTTGGAGCTGTTTATATTCTCTTGAAATTTTCCTTCTGTTTCTGAACCTCAAATAGTTAACATAAGCGCTTCAAAGGCTTTGTGGGATGAACACATGGGACAGAGGACTTTAATTCTCTTTCCATTTCTAAACACAGATAAAGGGTT